GATGGAGAAAAGAAAAGGAGTAAAAGAGTAGTGTCAAGATGCTCAATGATTTAGGTAAGAAGTTAATTCACACTGTGTATGTATAATGTCCATATAAAGAGTCGTCTCAAGTTAACTAAGGGAACCACATTTTATAAAAAGAATTGGATGTACCACATAACTGTGCAAATCACTTACCAACTTCCTGAGTTTTTCGTAGAACCGTAGTGAGGGTAGGAATGCCTCTATCAGCTCCCAGCTAACCAATTGCTCTAAAAGTTGGCAAGGCGACTTAGTTGGAAGCTAATTTATTTTAGTCCATGATGAAAGAATTTAGGGGTTTGGAAAGTAAAAGCGCTTAAAGATCTAGTGGGTATGGTTTTTCTAGAAGTAAGGAAAATCAGTATGTGACCTGGAACCAAAGTGGTTTAAAGGAACACTCCACACACCTAAAGCACTTTAGTTTTTAACTTTGTGTGAAGAGAGTTTTTCATTTTACAAAAAGTGCAGAGTTCAATAGAAATTGGCACCTTAAAAAAATTACCTTGTTACAACCCCTTGGCTGTCAATCAGACAACTAAACTCAAGAGTTAGACAAATGCCCAGAGCACCTAGAGCACCTACCTTACAAAGTCTTCTCATTTAGCTGCATTGGGAAGTCTGTGATTGGACAGACACAAAATGTCTAGGCTGGAGATGAAAGTAAGGGGTTTCAAAAGGCTGAATACAAGCTAAAAGATAAATAAAAGATCTGCATCTTTTGCAAGCTGTGTTTAATAATTACTTTAAAATAATGCATAATTAAATGAATGCATGATTTAATTTGGGTATATCTTTATATCTTAATTATTTTTTTGGCAGTGTAGTGTCTTTTTTTTTGACAATCTTTATTTGAATATTGTTTTTCACAAAGGAGGAAAACAGTGGAGGAAAAACTTGGAACAATCAGTATAACATAAATTGATTGTACTATGTAGCTTGTTTCTAACTGTGTGTCTCTTTGTTATGTCTGGGCACAGTGAGTGATGCACGATACCTAACCACTGAGTTTAGCCATTATTTGTATGTTTCTGATTTGGTCTTAGATTATGAGCAGCCCTCTCATTTTTTATGTTAAACAGTCGTTACTTAAGGGGATGCATGTCTTTGGTTCAGTAGGCAAGATTAAACAAGTGACATAGTATGACATAACTGCTCGTCCCAGTTTGTTGCAGGTAAGTAGCAGGTTAGGGGATTCAGTATTGGTAGCAGTACTACGTTATTTAGTACTAGTATGTAGTGTTTGGTCAAAGACACTTGTGTCCGGTACTGGATAGAGTAGCAGTGGGAGGGTTCCAGAGAAGGTACTGTACACGCTGGGTGCTTACTACCTTGTCAAGGGACTGTGTCAACCCACCATCCGGTCTACTGTCTCCCAGACCCCGTCCCTCTGCGTGCCCATATGGACATGGTTAATACTCCCTACTATCTTCAACTACCTAGTCTAGTATTATGATCCTGGTGTCACATTTCCATCTGAAGGTAATGGGTCTGTCTCTGGGGCCTGCCCCATACATGTCTGGGAGGAGGCCACCGACTACCCTATATTCAGGGGCCCAGTGTGGGCTGTCAGTCTCTGTGCATTTACTTTTTATACCTATATATCTCCCTAGGGGGCATCAGGAGTTTGGTGTTCGGTTGGTCCTCTACCGATCCTTGAGACATAGGTCACCCATGGGAACCAGGTCAGTGCGCACTTATCAGAGCGGCCCTGGAGGTCAGCTGGTGTAGTGTCTCTTTAAGCAAGATAGAGTAAGTCCACCAACAGTGTAAGAAGGTGCCAACAATGGTTGGTAGGGCGAACATGGATTTTGTGCCAACTGATGTGGAGTTAAACACCATCGCAACAACATTATGTACATTTGCTTCTTATGTATTATGCATATGGTTGAAGAGACTAAATCCTCTGAAATATCCAACCAATCACTAGATTCCTCCAGGGGTTCCAAATCCCCAAATGCTCTTACCAAGCAGCAATATAAGGTAACAAAATCTGAGTGTAGTGCTCTACAAAAAAGATATATAAAGATGACATTTGAGCTTTTTTTTAGTTGGGGAAGCAAGACAAATCAAAAGCTTTTAAAGTAATAGTTCTTGCTTGTTATAGTTTTTGAGGAGGAAGCGAAACTGCAAAGTTGCGTATAACAAAATTAGTCGAACGTTGGGAAGGAAGAATGTTCAAATGTATTTGTGTCAGCAATCACTTTGTCATGGGACTATTGGTGCATCAATCCAATGATATCACTGTCTTCAAATTTGGCAAAGTCCTTGGGAGTGGAGCAAGGTGGAAATAACTTATTACCTAGGATAGATGTGAGAATAGAAAGGCAAGAGTAGAGTTCACAGATAATGCCACCCACCAAACATTACAGCATTTGAGAATGTGATCTGCCCATGAAATAACAAACCTTAAATAATTTAAATGTAAATATTATATTTAATTATTAATATACACACAAACGAATGTTACATGCCACAACAGACGTAAGTACACAACCTATGCCCTAAGAGTCTCGGGACATTACATGTAATTACATGCTTCTAGAAAAGATACATTTTCTGAAATGCTGCGAGCAAAAATTCTTTAGAAAGAACATTTTATTTCCAAAATGGTTGGATATACTGAAAATAGAATTAAAACAGGACACGATAAAACACTTCTTTCAATTCACTGGTTTATTGTGTTGTTTTGTCCAGCTCAATTTCAATGACCTGTGACTTTTTCCAAGAGCAGATAATTAAGCTATAAATCCTGACAGACAACTAATTATCATCAATAATGAATGTGCTGTATGTTGAGGGAGATCCTAGACACTGTTAGAATATATCCTGCTTTCATTGCCCCGCAATGAAATAGTATACGTTGGACCAGATTTCATTATGGTATCACTTTACATATTGAAATACCAAAGCAAGGATATATATTGATAAAAACAACAAAACAATGGTTTCCTACTTTATTGATGGTAACCTATACCAATGCACCGCAATAGAAATATTGAACATTGAACATGTGGCTATGGCCAATGAGGTTTATACCCAGCATTGATGGAATTCCATTTTCCATAAATCCAGATTGCTAATTTTAAAGGAAAATTGTCAGCAGGTTTTGTAATATTATGTTCAATTGTGCCCTATATTTAACAAATGTGTATTCATGAGATGTGAAAAATAAAATTAAATGTTCACGAATTTCCTTCTTAAACCACAAATAGCAATATTGTACCACATTATATTATCGGCTAACCTTATGATCACTAAGAAGTGAAAATTCAAATCCTCCACAGAGTATGAAAACCTACTTAACCTAATAAACCTCAATTGGGCATACGAATCAATGTCCTCCTCCCAACTTTGACCTAAAAAAGTGTCTCAACAAGCACTTCATATATATTACATACATTTTGGGATGTAACCCATAAGGACTGACAGTCATCATCAGTGGATACCAAACATTGCCTTTATAGAATACACCCACCACGGAAGCTAACTGCATGGCCCAAAAACTCTAAAAGGGCTCCCTGTCCACAAACACAACAGATGAATGACATTCTTCTATGCTACAACTTATTCACAAGATATGAAACGAACGCCTAATTCGAGGGTTTAAAACATTTAAGCATCATGTAATAGTCATGAGTGATAACCACACAAGAGGGAGAGCCAATATTGGTGCCATGAACTAGTTTACCTTAATTATTGCCCCTTATGGATAGTTCAGCTTTTGCCTCAACTTGTTAATTATGCTTAGATATTTGAACTCCACCAAAACGAAGTGCAGGCACAACTTAGCACAGTATACCTTGATACTAAGAAATGTCTTACACACTCTATTTAGCAATCAAAGGGAATACGCTCCACTCCACCTCTTGTAGAACACAAACAACCTTTACCCCCCACCCACCTCCCTTCCTTACCACCCTCTCTATTTTTTCCTTAAAGGGACACTATAGACCAGCGGTTCCCAAACTGTGTGCCACGGTGCCCCAGGGTTTCCCTGGTGCTTTGATCATATGATAATAGCACCAGGAATCGTGCCTCACTTTCCCTTGCTGGCTCTGCAGGACTGGAGGGGAGATCAGGCCCGCTAGCACTGTAACGCTGGCAGCCGGCAGGGGAGGGAGGACCCGGGTGAGCTCTAACCTGCAGCTCTGCCGGGTTCTCCTCTTGCAGGCTCGGTGTGCTGCTAGAGGTCACTCTCACCACTGGGACCACCAGGGCTACTCCACCAGAGTGCCAGGGATTGCCTTGCACTGTCCACCCTCCCAGGCAAAGATAAGAAGAAAAAAAGAGGAAAAAAAAGAAGTGGGAAAAAAGGGGGGTGGTTTTGGGGAGGGGTTGTGATGGTGGTAACAGTATCCTTCTACAGGTGGACTGAGACTGTCATCTTTGCCTTGCATGTCCCCTGTTTGTGTGGGCATGGTTCAAGCTGCCTCAGGGAGTTTCAATTTGAGTCTGTGTGGGCAGTATGTGTTAGTGTTTTGATGTCTCCAAATACTTGATTACGCTTCATTTCCCCATCCTTATATGTATTCCAGACATGGGGTCCATACCTGGATGCATTTGTCAGCGTTACCCTTAAGCTGCGCATTCGGGGATTGGTCGGCGCACCTGTTTGCTTTCATTGTAGTGGAATCAGTACTTTTGCTGCATTTAGTAAATGTTTGAAGAGCGATTTTTTTAGTATTTTGAAATGGGGGATTTGGTGAGGTGTAATAGAGTGGGGAGGTGTTGAAATGGAAGGTCAGATTCAGTGATGGTGTTAATTTTTGAGTGTATCTGTTTCCATAAGGGTGCCAGACTGCCAGTCTTGGTCATTGCCACCATATGTGTGGTCATAGGCGTGCGCAGCCTATTGCATTAGGGTGTACACCCTAAAGCACAAACACACGCCGCGTGTGTGTGTGTGTATGTATGTATGTATCTATATATATATATATAGATATATACATACACACACACTGCTGTGTGTGCTGTTAGTGTGCTGTGTGCTGTTAGTGTGATGTGTGTGTGAGGGTGCTGTTAGTGTGATGTGAGGGTGTTTGTGTTTGTGTGTGTGTTTGTGACTGTGCTGTTTGTGTGTGAGGGTGTTTGTGTGTGTATGTTTGTCCTGTGGGGTGCTGTTTGTGTGAGTGTCGTGTATTTGTGAGGGTGCTGTTTGTGTGTGTGTGTGTTTGTGAGGGTGCTGTTAGTGTGCTGTGTGAGGGTGTTGTGTTTTTTTTAAAGGTGCTGTGTGTGTTTGTGAGGGTGTGGCTAGTGTACTGTGTGTGTGAGCTGTATGTGTGTGTGCTGTATGTTTGGAGGGATTTGGCAGATTAGTAAATCCTTGCTGCCATGTGCCATCCCTGGTGGTCCAGTGGAGAGTGAACTCTAGCCTGCGGGGCTAGAGTTAACTCTCGTGAGATCTGAGCGTTTCCCGCAGCAACGCTCAGATATCGCGAGAGGAACCTGGCAGAGCTTCTGTCTAGAGCTCCCTGGGTCCTCTCCTGCCTCCCTCCATGCTGCTGTGGGCCGGTGAGGTAGATCTTTGGTCTCCCCCGCCGGCCCATGGAGGCTTAGAGCAGAGCCGGCACTCAGATAGCGCCGGCTCTGTGTGTGTGTGTGTGTGTGTGTGTATATATATATATATATATATATATATATATATATATGCGTACACTCACAGACACACACATTCACAGACACACACAAGAACAAATTATTATATTTTAATTTAAAAAAATGTCCACCCAGCCTCCTACCTGGAGTGCTGGCGTGGACTTGTCCCTGGGGTCCAGTGGGGCGGGCGCCTCTCTCCAGCTCAGCCGCGGCGAGGGAGCTGTCTGCTCTCTGCTTCCTCTCGCCGCGCGGGCTGTCTACAGTAGCTGGGAGCTGGAATATGACGTCATATTCTGGCTCCCGGCATCAGCGCGCAGCGAGAGGAAGCAGAGAGCATCCAGCTCCCTCACCGTGGCTGAGCTGGAGAGAGGGGGGAGATCCATCACCTCTTGCCCCCCCATGACAGGGGCAAGAGGTGAGACAGGGGGCGCTGAGTGCAGGACAAGTGCAAGCTCAAAAAAAGTGCAGGAACGCTGTTCCTGCAGGACTCAAACCATAAGCGTGCCACGGGGATTAGGGTGTGCCCAGGCACACCCGGCACACCCCGTGCGCACGCCTATGTGTGTGGTCCGTGAATCTCCAGCATGCATCTGTCACCTCGAGGTCTATGCGATGTAGCACAGGAGTTCTATACCACTGCATCAATATTTTGTCATTAGTTTCTTGCACTTTGGAGCATTGAGAGCTTTGATGTGAGAGTATATAGATTTCTTCCCATTCATGATCTGTCAGTGTGACCCCGGTCTCTGTCTCGCATTTGGACTGGAATTTTGGGCCATCTGTCAAGAGAAATGTGTATCAATTGGAGATGCCTCGGAACATACATTCGCTCTTGTCGTGCAGTAGCTTTCGAATAGAGACAAGTCCCTGTGGAGGAGACGCTTGCCAAGTAAGGTCATATAGTATGTTTTTATCTGGAGGTATCTGAATTTCTCTAATCCTGTGGGAGTCCTGTCCTGGATCAGTGCCCCGAGGGGTTTAAGTCCTTCACCTGTACACTAGGTTCGGAAGTAGGTCCAGTCTGTAGCACCAAAGGTTCATTTTGAATGTGCTTATTCTAACGAACCAAGAGATGTATAGCGATGCCCATTTGACCATATCCGATTTCAGCGTCTGGAGTAATGGGAGGAAGTTATCTTGGTACAGGTTGTTGAGATCCCTTGGTAGCCATATCCCCAGATAGCGTATCTTTGCAGGGCACCATTTGAACGGGAAGAGGTCCCTAAGGTGCGTAACCGTGTCTTCAGGTATTGTGATATTAAGAGCTTCAGACTTGTCCAGGTTGAGTTTTAGGTTGAATAGCTGGTCGTATTCCCTGAACAGTGTCATGAGGTTCGGCAGGGAAACTCGGGGGGTTTGCGATGAAAAAAAGCATATTGTAAACATATGCCGCCACCTTGTGTTCCCGTTGACCCAATGTGTGCCTCGTTATTCCCCCATCCCATCTGACTGCCTCTAAATATAGGTTTGAGAGCGAGGGCAAACAGGAGGGGGACAGGGGGCACCCTTGCCTGGTGCCGTTTCTGATCAACAGTTGGGACAGTGCACCGTTCACTCATATCTGGGCGGTGGGGATCGTGTATAGGGACACTATCCATGCTCTGATGTTTGGACCGAGAACCATGTGTTGGAGTGTGATATGAACTGCCAGTCCATCCAGTTGAAGCGCTTTTCTGCGTCCGTTAAGAGGAGGTGGTGGCCCTTTTCGCTACTCTGTGCCCATGTATGATGTTGAGGGCCTGAATGGTATTGTCCCTTGCCTCTCTACCTGTCACAAACCCCACCTGGTCCTTGTGGATAAGGCCTGGAATCACCCAACTGAGGCATAATGTGAGTGCTTTTGTGAATAGCTTAATGTCTGCATTTAAGAGGGAGATAGGTTGATAGCACGCACATTGCGTGGGGTCCTTTCCCTCTTTTGGAATGACCGTTACTACCGCATACAAATCCTCCCTGGGGGTACCCTTCACCATCAAGCAGTGAGTTCAATTCCTTTAGTAGGTTTGGGAGGAGGAGGTCACTGAATGTCTTCAGGAATAGGAGTGGTAGTCCATTCGGTCCAGGAGCCCTGTTCACATGAGATAACTTCAGTGCAGCATGCAGCTCTTCGATGGTTAGTGGGGCTCCAGCTCCTCTACCACGGCGGGGGTGAGCTTCCTGGTCAAATAGTTAGTCAAGAAGCCGTTGATTCACCCCACCAGTCTCTGCGTCTCCACTTGCGTGCGGTGTTGGGAGAGATTATAGAGGTTTGCGTAGTAAGATTGAAACGCGCCCAGGATTGAGGATGGAAGTTGGATCATCTTGTTTCCCATCTCTTTGAGTTAGTGGACGTGGCAAAGCTCTCTCCTCTTCTGCAGAACTCGCGCCAACAACCTCACACATTTATTTGAATGTTCATAGAAAAAGAGTTTCGTAAGGTGTGGAGTAGTTTCTACGATAAGAGGTCTTGGAGTTCTCTTCATGCTGTGGTTAGCTGTTTAAATACTTTTTCTGACATGGTGTCTTTGTGTGCATGTTTGATGTCTGCTATTTGTTTTAACAGTGTGGCCGTTTGTCGTGCTTGAGTCACTTTTCGTTGCCTGCACATACTAACGTAGTGCCCTTGTATGACACATTTATGTGATTCCCACACACTGTTAGTACTGTGAGAGGGTCTGACGTGTTGTGTTGATTTCTTCCGCTTCTAGTAACATATTCTCGTTGAGCTTCCAGTTCCGTTCCTTAAATGTATTCAATGGCAAGCTGATGTGTGCAGAGACCAGGGAGTGGTCAGACCAAAGTAAGCCCAAGATATCTGAGGAGATCAGCAGGGTTAGGTATTTTTGTACGATGAAAATGTGGTCTATGCGACTATAGTGTTTGTGGACTGCAGAAAAGTGTGTGAAGTCTTTGTCATCCAGGTGCGCCGTCCTCCAGCAGTATACTAGGCCCGAATGGCGTAAGTCTTCCCTCGCCCTTCAAAGGCAATAGGCTGGTATGGTACTGGAACCTCTGGAGGTGTCCACTTTGGGATATAATGCAAGGTTGAGGTCACCCGCTACCAGGAGTAGACCTTCTCTGAGCTTTTCTAGCAGGACAAGTGTTTTTATCATGAAGGTCTGTTATTTTTTGTTTGGGGCGTGAATGCTTTCAAAGTTTGAGCACCTCGTGATGGTGCCTTTCAGGAAGATATATCGCCCCATTGGGTCCGCCACCTTTGCCGTGCATTGAAACGGGATCGCCCTCGCAAATAGTATCGCCACTCCCTCACGTTTGGCTGTCTGGTGGTTAGCAAAAAATCCCAGTGGGAACCTTTGCTGCCTCAGTACTGGCGTGGCCCCCTCCCAAAAGTGGGTTTCTTGCAAAAACACTATTGATGCTCTGTCTGCCCAAAGTGCTCATAGCAGGTGTCCGGATTTCTCTGGGAGGTTCAGGCCTCGGACATTGTTTGTCCAGATGTGCAGTGGGGCTGGGCGAAAGTCACTGGGCTTAGGCATTGTCAGTTAAGGGTTAGGACAGGAGGGAAGTGGGGTTGAGGGAGAGAAGAAAGAAAAAAAAAGGGGTGGTGTTTATCGAAGGGAGGGACTGGGGGGGGGGGAAAGAGGGGTATGGCAAGAGTGGTGTAAGAGAAAAGGCACTCAGGCTACCAGGTGCGCCAGGTAAGTACTTTTTACACAAAGTGGCGTAAAACCTCGATTAGTCACAACTAAGGTGATCTAAGACTTGGACCTTAGTCCACTCTTCTAACCTGTATGTACAAGTTAGTCTGCCACAGGGAACGTGATCGAACGTAGGTTTTATCTCCTAAAAGAGTAAGTATTTATTTGCATCCATATTGTAGTTCGTGGAATCTGGGGGCCAGTTTGGGAGCAGTTTGGTGATTCTCAATAGCAACCGCTCCTGCCATCTCTCAACCCGAACAGCAGTGGAGTAACACCTCAGAGTGCAGGTGATGTTGGGGGTTCTGAAAACTCCTGACGCCTACGGCAGACTTTAATCGCCATCCTGTCGCAGGTCCACCGAGCATGCTCGCTCCAAAAAGGCCCACCAACAGAACCTCGGACCAGATCTCAATGGCTCCCAGGGGGGGACTTAATAAGTGTCAGGGGAACCCCAGCCCCCACCCAGCAAGATACCCATCCATCGGGACTCAGACATAAGGTGCCTCCCTCATTCAACCAGGTCCAGCGTCCCGAGAGGCCCTGGCACCACCACGCAAGGAGTACCCCTGGAACAGCCAAGTGCAAGGAGATGATCATCTAACCAAATAAAGGCCCCATCCCAATATGTGAACCATGCATACATTTCCAGCTGCTCCCAAACTGGCCCCCAGATTCCACCCACTACAATATGGATGCACGTGTTACTAGGGCATAGTATGAGAAGGGAGTCTGAAATTGCATCAGGCTGAATCTGGCAGTACTTTGAATGTTATGCATTTACAAACCATATAATCATATTAGTAAAAATACATAACTAAAGAAAAATTCTCCCTCCCTTCTTCCTTCCCTTTCCCCCCTTTATTTTCCCTTCCCCTTCTTTCTTTTTATCCCTTCACTCTTTTCAACTTGCAGCTCCGCCGGGTTCTCTTCTTGCGAGCTCCGAGTGTTGCCGTGGCAACGCTCCAAATCTTGCGAGAGTAAACTCTAGCGGCTCCTGAAGTTCACTGCCACCACTAAGACCACCAGGGATTGCAGGACATGTCCCCCGTTCCCCCTCCCAGGCAAAGGTAAGCAGGGGGGGGGGGGGTTATTAAAATAATTATTTTTAATTAAAACTAAAAATTATATATTTATGAATTTGCCCTCCTATCTCCACAGAGACACAATAATGCCCTGATGCACACACACACTGCACCCCTCATCTCCTTCTACAGTCCCTATCCCAGCAGATCCCAGGTAAATTGTCAAACTGTTCTTAAATAGTTTGACTACTTACTCTGGAAGGGCACTACGGCACCACAACCACTACAAAGTGCTGTAGTGGTTATTGTGCCTGGATTTTTTCTTTAAATAATCTACCAGTGCCCCTCCCAAGATTAGCTTCTGAATCTGCGCTTGAACGACAAGCATTTCTGCCGAACAGGGGCCCAGTATATGCCGCAGCGCTGTACATATATACAACCTAGAACATTTTTTGACTTGGGGCACCTTGCAAAAATATTAAAGGTGCCTTGAACCTAAAAAATTTGGGAAACATTGCCTAAGACTAAATCACCGTTCTTCAAGTCTAAACGTGTGACCTTGTGCCCTATGTATAGCCCTGTTCATGACTAGATTTCCAGATAATGGTTTGTAATGTCCCCGAATATATGTTTATAATGCAATTATACCTCCGAGTCACCCTTTTTCTAAAGAAGTTTAAATTTGTTACGTTTTCTTTATAGCTAAAATGTTTCATTCATTTTATCAATATTTTTGCCCGCCTCTGCATTTTTTTTTTTTTCTAGGATCATAATATCCTTCTTTAGAACAAGTGCTCAAAACTGCACAGCGTATGGAAGGTGTGGTACTCCTAGTGATTTATAGAGAGGGAAATTTAGATTCTCATTCCGAGAATTAACGCCTCTTTTCAATACACGATGATACATTATGGCCTTGCCCAGCCCATTGTTTCCTAGTTTGTGTCTATAATAATTCCCAAATCCTTTTCATGTGTTTAGAGCCGGTGCAAAGATTTTTGCCGCCCAAGGCAAAAGAAAAATTTGCCATGCCACCCTCCATGTCCTACCCATATGAATTAACACCAGTGCTGCACACATTGTGTGTTTACATTAAAAAGCCTGCAGAGACATGCTATAGCCACCAGAACCACTACATTAAGCTGCAGTGGTTCTGGGGACTATAGTGTCCCTTTAATGTGAGGTAAATTAGAGATTAGCGCCACGAATAATATACTTAATTGCTTACTTACAACCAGATGAGGATGATGGGCTCTGGCCGCAGTCTGGCTCCACTGGTCTCATGTAGAACAGGCGCTCTGTAACTGTAGTCACAAAAGTCAATGTTCTGGGGGAACGTGAAGCAGCTCAATTTTTTTTGAGCCCCTTCCACAGCTCAAGGTCCGAGTCAAGGTCGGACGGTGAGTATGCCCATAAGTCCACCTACGAGTTTGCTCACAGGGAGTGGAGTAAGTAGAGGATCTTAAGTGTGTGCTTATAGAATGTAGTGGATAAGGATACCAGTTTGTGTAGGTAATGCAGGGGGCAGGGTGTGTAATGGATGCTTGTGTTTTTGTGTAAGGGATAGGATGCATTGTGTGAATCTGTTTGTATGTGCAAGGGATACAATGTGTGTTTCTGTGTATGTAAAAGCACGTAGTGTGTGTAAAAGAGATGCAGTGTATGTTTCTCTGTGTTTAAGGGATGCATATGGGGGGGGTGTGTATTGTGAAGCATTGTGTGAGAGAGTTTGATGATATGGGGGGGGTCACTCATATTGTGCGCCCTCATGGACCTGCCGGCCCGGGGAGTGCTGCAGCCGCCCTGAGCTCTCTATAGAGCGCTCATATGGCTGCAGCATGAGGGGGGCCCGGTGCTCCTGGCGGCGCCCCTTTCTAAGGGGCGCTTTAGGTGACTGCCTAAGTCTGCTATTGGTAGCGCCGGCCCCGCCTGTATTGTTATCCTTAATTCACCACTATGTAGGGCAGAAGTTGCTTGTGCCTCACACCGCATAACTTTGCATTTTGTTTTCCCCTACATTAAATTTATTAGCAAAAACGTAATTGATAACTGATACGACCCTAAGTATAATATTGCAAGTTTGCAGAATTAATGAAAAACAAAGAATGAAAAGAGACATTAAACTTCCGTATATTAAATACCACTGGCTATAACAGATACAGTGTAGTTTAGAGGAACTTGTTATGCAAAGTCTAAATAAAAGCAGAGTATTTTGATTTCCTGATAAAAACAGCCACAAACACAAGCCCAATCTATTTAATAGTCTGCATCCCTCTCCAACATTTCTTTTTATTAAATATTTGTTTAGTAGATGAGCACTAACACAGAATCCAACATGTAGAAGAACCAGCAGGCAATGGATGGCATTTTTTTTAAGTTAAAAGAGTAACATGGTTCCATTACACAACTATCATTCAGATGTTGCTTTCTTTAAATACGCAATGAGATCACACCGCTCAGACTTCTTTTTAATTCCAGCAAAAATCATTTTTGTTCCTGGTATATATTTCTTGGGGTTCTCCAAATATTCAAGAAGAGTGTCTTCCGTCCACACAATACCTATGTAAAACAAAACAAAATACAGATGCATTTTTTGGTTAAGTTTAAAACACTTTACGCCTGTAATAAATCATTTACAGAATGATACAACTGGTCGACTCATGTATTACACTCCATCTTAAATGGAAAAGATAACAATATTGAAAGAGCTGGATCCTGGAGTCCTGTGTCTCAAAAAGGTATGTTTTGATTTAAAGAGGAATATCCATATATTTAAAAAGCAACACTATAGAAACCAACCAGTTTTGATGTATAGATCATGTCCCTATAATCCAACTGCTAAATTCTCAATGGTTTAGGAGTTAAATCCCTTTTGTTTATGCAAACCTATAACAATTCTGCTCTGTTAACAGTCATCTTCACACTGTAGGAGCCTCGTGTGTGTGATTAAAACTCAATTTACAGAACAGGAAAAAAATAAATTTAGTTAACATCTGATTGAAAATGAAATTATTTTTATTCACGCTAGCTGTGCAAGTCCGCTTTGTATTCTCCTTTTAAATCAGTTAAGTATTTTCATCTATGTATTCACTGGGAGTATAGTCTAAAAGAGCTTACAAAAGCTGCAGTTCTTTAGACTGCAGCCTTTAAAAGACTCCTTGGGGTACATCGGTAGAAAGGGAGAGGGCTTACAGTCTCTGCACGGGGAAATAACCAGTAAGAGGCTTCCCAGCACATGCACCATGTTGGGTGTGCACTTCTGCAGAAGAGGAGCTGATCTGAAGTCTCCCATAGAGCATGCCTGCCACTTCCCTTCGCTCAGGGGTACCAACAGAAGTAGGTAGGAATCCTTCCAGGCTGTTAGACAGCCGAAGGGGGGGGGGGTTAAATGGGATTTAAATGTTTGAGAGCAATGTTTGCTCTCAAACATTTAAATCCCATTTAACACAATCTTAGTTGGCTTACCTTTACTTTTGTTTGCATCTGTGTAAGAAAATCCTGGTGCTTGGCCAGTTTTACGACCAAATAGACCCCAAAGGTTTGGTCCCACCTTATGCTTTCCATTTTTTTCCACTGTGTGACATTGTGCACATTTCTGAACAAAAATCTTCTTGCCTTTCTCTGGGTCACACATGTCTTCTGCTATATCTGTGTGGAATGAAAACATTGGGAGAAAAAAAAACAAAAAAAAAAAAACAGGAAAATGTCAAAAAGGGTTTATGTCAATCATAGCTTTGGTGCTACCAATAAGAATTCGTAGAGTGATATGGGTTATTGTGCAAACTACATAAAACGTACAATGCCAATGCCAATAAAACGTACAATGCCAATTTGTTAAATCTCAATAAATGGCAGTTTTTGCCATTACAAATGTCTTAATGCTCCACTAGCTTCTTTCGGTCTTAAAGGGGAACTAGCATCTTTGTGATTGCAACTAGCAAACACAACTGAAGAGTTTATAGTGGAAAAAGTAGACAGATACTACAACCTGTTTACACGTTTATCGCATCTGTTGCTCTTATGCTCTACAAAGCAAAAAAAATTGTTATTACTGAACATTAAAAGTTATACATTCACTACTGGATGGCAGGGAAAAGTCTATTTAGAAGCCATTGTTCCAAGGCCCTTTCACTGTATTATCCAAGACTGGGAAAGGTGATGTATATCTCGAATGCTGCATTACCTTTTCAGATTTGTTTTTATTTCACATTGTGTATATATTACTGCACAGATTTCTACACCTTGCCCATGTTCAAATACAGCTATATGTTGCATTTCACAAATAATGTAGATTGGTCCTCCCAAAAAGTATTTCCCCCCCTTAAAAAAAAAAAAAAAAGGGGGACTCCTTCCCATTTAGCTGTCATTTTCGCATGTGGCAAGTGAGAAAGTAATTTGTCTTTATTACTTGTACCGTGTTCCTTTGTTGAGGGATATGGGTGGTTACTAGGAGCATTCCCCATTACACAGTGCTTTGCCTGAATTGGATTTAATGTTACTACAAGTATTGACGAGCAGACATGCTCTGCACTGGGTGGGGAGGGAGGGAGGGAAGGAAAAAAAAAAAAAAAAGCCACAAACATACACTAAACTTATATTCATTTTAGCAAGCCATCGAATTGTGAAATCTCATTGTGGAGAGGCTATTACAGTATGTTTTCTTGGATTACTGCCTGGTCTATCCTTATCATAAATCAGTGCTAACAGTACCTTGTTCAGAACTATATAGTAGTTATAATGCCCTATATTGTTCAGGTTTATCACAAATTCATAATAAGGGAGCACCTCCAGGAACTCAAGATGCCGAATAAGTAGAGCTATAGATTCCTTTGGCCATACAAGCTCTGATGGCATGGGCATACCACCATACACCTTGTATATTTCAATCTACCTTCTACGAGAGAGAGTATACCATGGTCATGCCTTCGATTATCTTAAGTAGCGTAATTCAAAAAAGCAGTAGGTTTCCTTTCATTTTCAACACACACACACACACACACACACACACACACACACACACACACTAGGAGGAAAAAAGAAAAAAAAAGTCAACTCCAACTTTGAGAGTACATTTCAACAGGTCTCAAATAAATAGCAGTCAATGTGGGATTTCAAGACTTTGGCACAGTACCCCCTCTGAAGGAAAACAAATGACTTGTCCAAAGATGGCCAACATCTGGCAATGATAGTCTACATAGTGAGAAGTGGGGCATGTGACAGCCTCACAGAACACTCTGTAACAAAATGCTCAACACAACATAGGATATTCTGACCTCAGTTACCAGCTATTTTGAGCAGTTGTATAAGTAAGCAGGCAATAGCCCTATGGCTACTGTTTTAACTAAAACTCCTATAAAACTCCACATTGAAGGTGACATTCTCTTAACCCATTGAATGCCTAAATTGCATGGCAAAGTGTCCATTATATCTTCAGCACTCAGATAAAGTTTTTTTTTTGTTTTTTGTTTTTTTAAACCAAGAGTGAGTAACCATGACATAGCCATGCCTTTCACACTTACAGATAATGGAATTTAGGCATCTGTAATGTTATGTCATTATCTATGATGAACAACTGGGATGCTAATGGGAGCTACCTAACTGGTTGCATATTAAGGAAAAACAGGCCATGAGCTACAGCAACTAAAACAGCCAGTCTAAACAAGCATGATAGGTGGTATAGCTATACAACTGCTGGGGGCCACAGGTCATCCTCTGCTACACACAGTATATATGGCATTATAGCAGTCACCCATTTCCAAGCTCTGACTCTCTGCTATACAGAACACATGGTATTATAGGTGTCAGCCATATCCCAGCTTTACACAGTATATGGTATTATAGGGGGTCAGCCATATCCCAGCTATACACAATACATGGTATTATAGGGGGGTCAGCCATATCCCAGCTATACACAGTACATGGTATTATAGGGGGGTCAGCCATATCCCAGCCATACACAGTACATGGTATTATAGGGGGGTCAGCCATATCCCAGCCATACACAGTACATGGTATTATAGGGGGTCAGCCATATCCCAGCCATACACAGTATATGGTATTATAGGGGGGTCAGCCATATCCCAGCTATACACAATACATGGTATTATAGGGGGGTCAGCCATATCCCAGCTATACACAGTACATGGTATTATAGGGGGGTCAGCCATATCCCAGCCATACACAGTACATGGTATTATAGGGGGGTCAGCCATATCCCAGCCATACACAGTACATGGTATTATAGGGGGTCAGCCATATCCCAGCCATACACAGTATATGGTATTATAGGGGGTCAGCCATATCCCAGCCATACACAGTATATGGTATTATAGGGGGGGTCAGCCATATCCCAGCTATACACAGTACATGGTATTATAGGGGGGTCAGCCATATCCAGTACATGGTATTATAGGGGGGTCAGCCATATCCAGTACATGGTATTATAGGGGGGTCAGCCATATCCCAGCCATATACAGTACATGGTATTATAGGGGGGTCAGCCATATCCCAGCTATACACAGTACATGGTATTATAGGGGGGTCAGCCATATCCCATCTATACACAGTACATGGTATTATAGGGGGTCAGCCATATCCAGCTATACACAGTACGTAGTATTATAGGGGGTCAACCATATCCCAACCATATACAGTACATGAGTATTATAGGTCAGCCATATCCCAACCATATACAGTACATGTAGTATTATAGGGGTGTTGCCATATCCCAACCATACACAGTACATGGTATTATGAGGAGGTGAGGGGTGGGGGAAGTCGACCATACACAGTACATGGTATTATAGAGTCATCCATATCCAAGCTATACACAGTACATGGTATTATAGAGGGGGAGTGTCAGCCATATCCAATATACACAGTACATGGTATTATGGGGTCAATATACACAGTGCATGGTATTATAGGGGGTCAACCATACACAGTGCATGGTATTATAGGGGGTCAATACATACACAGTGCATGTGGTATTATAGGGGTCAATACATACACAGTGCATGTAGTATTATAGGGGGTCAGCCATACACAGTGCAGCATGGTATTTATAGGGGTCAGCCATACACAGTGCATGGTATTATGGGGGTCAATACACACAGGCATGGGTCCAATACATACACAGTGCATGAGTATTATGGGGAAGTCAGCCATACACAGTGCATGGTATTATAGGGGTCAGCCATACACAGTGCATGGTATTATAGGGGATAGTCAGCCATACAGTGCATGGTATTAGAGAGTAATATACACAGTGCACATGTCAATACATACACAGTACATGGTATTATAGAGGTCAATATACACAGAGTATGGTATTATAGGGGTCACCATACACAGTGCATAGTATTATAGGGGGTCAGCCATACACAGTGCATGGTATTATAAGAGGGTCAGCCATACACAGTGCATGGTATTATAAGAAGTCAGCCTTACACAGTGCATGGTATTATAGGGGTCAGCCATACACAGTGCATGGTATTATATAGAGGGTCAGCCATACACAGTGCATGGTATTATATAGGGGTCCTTAGCCATGGGTACATGGTATTATAGGGGTCACAGTACATGGTATTATAGAGGTTCAATATACACAGTGCATGGTATTATAGGGGGTTCAGCCATACACAGTACGTGGGGGGTCAGCCATACACAGTACGTGGTATTATAGGGGGTCAATACACGGTACGTGTATTATAGGGGTGGTATTATAGGGGGTTCAGCCATACACAGTACATGGTATTATAGGGGGTCAATACATACACAGTACATGAGTAGTATTATAGGGGGTCAGCCATACACAGTACATGGTATTATAGGTATTATAGGGTCAGCCATACACAGTACATTATAGGGGGTTCAGCCATACACAGTACATGAGTACAGTATAAGTCACCTAGTAACCAGCAGTACCAGACCCCTTCCCCTCTCTCCCTCCCATGGGCAGTCAGAGCGCCCCTCACTATGCCCATATTATCTCGCTCATACTATCCAATCGGGGTCAGCCATACACAGTACATGGTATTATAGGGGGGGTCAGCCATACACAGTACATGGTATTATAGGGGGGGTCAGCCATACACAGTACATGGTATTATAGGGGGGGTTCAGCCATACACAGTACATGGTATTATAGAGGTCACCTAGTAACCAGCAGACCCCCTTCCCCCTCTCCCCTCCCATGGCGGTCAGAGCGCCCCCTCTCTCACTATGCCCATATTATCTCGCTCAGGGTAGCCGCTCTGTCCTGCCCTGACCGGTCTCTCACCTTGTCCTTCACTCTGTCTGATCCACGTAAAGGTTAGCCGCTCACTCCACGCGAGACCCGGTATCTCTCTCCCAACCGCCCAGACTCTATGGTTACCAGTGACGACACTGCCGCAAATGCCGCTCGATCAGCCAATCACAGCCTGTCCTTCCCTTCCCTTAACGTTTGATTGGTGGGGATGGTTTCTACGTGTTACCTTAAATAGAAAGAGCGCTCAGCGTGTGAGCTGTGTGGGTGTGGGACAGGAAGTACTCTCTGAGCTATTGCAAAACTGCATCTCCCGTGATGCTTTGCCAGTTGCATAAGACGTACGACTGGCAAAGCATCACGGGAGATGTAGTTTTACAACAGCACCATGTGGTTGTATCCCCTATACAGCAGGGTATTTTCTTGCATTATAGTCTATAATAAATATAAACATTATAAATGGCTATTGTTTGGGTATATGCCTGCTTCTTCCTTTTTTTCTATACAAGAGACTATTATGGAGCCAAAACCTATTGCCTAGTCAACCTATTGTTCCTGTAATATTTTTTAATTGTCTCATTTATGGTTACATTTTCACCTTTATAATATTGTGAAGTGCTGCAGAATACGTTGGCGCCATATAAATGTCAAAATAATAATGACAGCCACTGACAAGGTCGACATGAATATATCATTCTAAAAAGTTTAAAAATCTGTCTAGTAAACTGATAGTTCAAAATTTTAATACTTTTTAAAACTCATACTTCAAGGCTTTAAAACTTAATGTATTGATTGATTGATTATTTTTTTTAAATTTAAACCAATTCAACTTTGAGTTATCTGTTTCTTTATGTGTCAATTATTGCAATGTAATAAAATTGGGAAGGTAGTACAAATCGCAAACCATAAGCATGGTAAAAATGAGTCGACCAATGCTGAAAGTTACTTTAGAGGCGTCCGAGCGATCTGATTTATTTCCATTGAAAATGTTTTTTAATTTCACAAGGCATTAGGAAAAGAGATAATTTCATTATCATTAGAGTGGCCATATTCACAGAAGTATATAGTGTATAAACAATTTTTATAAAAAAGGAATAAAGTAACAAAAACAGAGAATATGAGAATTCTGAGAACAGGCAAAAGCTCAGAGAATCTCAATATCTTGCACTTCGGTTAAACCCCGCTCAGGTCTCAAAAATGTTTTTTGCTCACTTGTGAAGAGAAAAAAAAATTGGGAAAATGTACATCCCGCCCATAAGGGTAGTCTGTATCTTAAATGCTGGAAAGTTCCCTCTGCACAAAAGATATAGAAAAGATACATCGTACAATCGTTTCGGCCTGCTTTGGGCCTCATCGGCGAGGTATAGCTGATACTCGTGTAGGCACAGTTAGTATGGGGTCTAGGTCTGGATTAACCTTTTAACTTAGGGGGAGCCAAAAATAGAGAATATGAAAACTCGGAGAATGGACAAAAGCTCAAAGTAACTTCAATAGCCTCTCCTTCGGTTAGTCCCTGCTCAAGACTCAAAATTTTTTTGTTCACTTGTGTCATTACAGAGAGGACCCATACCTGTTCTGTTTCATATTCTCTGGGTTTTTTTTGCAATGTAAAGCAAACATGGTTTACAGAGAAGAGGATGAAAGGAAGAGGGTATTTCACAAACACTAGTATTTCAAACTACCAGATCAGCTGAAAGTTTGTAAATGTAAATGTCAGGGCAAATGGTGACTAGTCAAAGGAATGCTATAGAAACACATTAGGTATCCAAATATGTAGAAGGTCTGCCCACCCCTCCTGATTACATATCTCCCAATGTTGTGAGATATGTGGCTCCATCCCACAGTAAGCTTCCATTCTTCACTGATATGTTAAAGCAGAAGTTCATATGTTAGCATTGGCAGGCCAAGTTTGGACCTTAATCATTGGCTGAAAGTGTCAGCGAATTAGCGCCACAGTGTCATCCCAGCAAGGCTGCCCATACTCTGCATTGCCATAGCGCTTATGCCTGGGCCTAACAGGTGTAACGGAGCATGGATAATCAAGCACTCTATCATCATATTCCCTCAATCATCCAGACACCAGTAGACAGATCTGTCATTGGGAGCACCATGGCAAAATTAGGTGCTGAGACAGTGAAGCTGAAAAAATATCATCTTAGATTAGCTCAAAATGTTCTGTTCACTGGTAAATTCCCTGATATGAAATCACCAAGCAAATAGTCCCAATATGTAGCTGTAGATTAAATTGTTTGTAGATTCAAATAAGCCTCTACTATGTTATGCAAGATTGCCTTTTTGCTTGGCAGTTACCATATTTTTCAGAATATATGATGCACCTTTTCATCCTACAATTTAGGGTTAAAAACTGCTTGCATCCTATATTCCTAGCGTAACCAGGTTACCGTGTAATTGACAGGATAGAGGCCCACAGAGCTCCCCTGTTCCTGCCAGTCACTCTGTATGGTGTGGCCTCGCAGACCATTGCAGAAAAATATTCTTGATCCTGTACCCAGTCGGACAGGAAGCTGGAAGCGGCAAGCAGCTTCCTTTCAGATCAGATAGAGGACAAAGAAAATCCATAAAAAACAATCTACAACAGTAGGTAAAAGCGAAGAGCCACAGGGTGCACAGCGTAGGGTGAATACTCAGATAGGTTTATTGTGGAATCAAGGACAAAACAGAGATATGACGTTTGGGCCGTAAGTCCTTAATCATGTTTTGCGGTTGAAACGTTATATTTCTTTTGTCCTTGATTCTACAAATATTATTATTTTATTATTTATATAGTGCCATCAGATTCCGTAGCGCAGTACAATGGGTGGACTAACAGACATGTAGTTGTAACCAGACAACTGGACGTACAGGAACAAAGAGGTGGAGGGCCCTGCTCAATGAGCTTACATTCTACAATAAACCTAACAGAGTATCCCCCCTACACTGTTCAGCCTGTGGCTCTTCACTTTTAAATGCATTTAGCGCCGGTGTGCAACACTTCACTACTGGTCTATAGGTAGTAGGTGAGAGACACAAGAGGCATGGGGGGACAGCAATGTACGCAGGGGGGCGGGGGGTTCAAGGAACTAGAGAACGATAAGAGACACCAAGGTGGAATACATTCAACTGTCTGTTTTATTTTTATTTTTTTTCTTCTAAATTTCTAGTTAAACCATGTGGGCTTATTTTATATTTCTAAAATGTGCTTCGTTTTATTTTATATGCTGAGGTTCAATGAAAAAAACAACAACAACAAAAATAAAAATAAATAAAAATACAAGTAATTGTGCCACTTAGTCCTCCCGCCTGCAGGGGGAGCTGCTTAGCGGTGTGACCGAGGGAGAGGGAGAGGAGGGCATGTTTAGTCGTTACGTCACCGGAAGTGGGGGATACTCAACGGTGGAAGTGGCCATTGCACGCTCAGTCATTTTCTCGCCTTTTGTTTACTCCTCACTAGAGTCCAGCCATGGAAGACAGCAGCGGGTTCCGTCCCTCAGCCGGGAACTTGGATGATCCCCCCAACAGCCGCGTGTTCCTGGTGGTCAGCAAGTCGGTGACCGAGGACACGATCCGGGACAGGTTCTCCGAATTCGGCGACATCCAGGACATCTGGGTGGTGAAGGATAAACAGACCAAGGAGTCCAAGGGCATCGCCTTCGTCAAATACGCCAAGTCCTCCCAGGCCTGCCGGGCTATGGAGGAGATGCACGGCCGGTGTCTCACTGAGAGCTCTAAGCCCGTCAAGGTGAGATCCCCTGAGTCAGCACACCCACCCAGGACCTGCAGAACATACCCTGATAATACCAGCATGCATCCATATAGGGCAGCATGTTTTCTGATAGGGCACTGCTCATTGCACACTCACCTCAGTGGGGAGCAGATTGTGCACATGAATTGGGTTTCCTGATTACCTGAATGTTGGGCAGGAGAAGGCAACCTTTGGACCTCCAGATATTGTAGACTACATCTCCCATAATGCTCCTACCGCCATAATGCTGGCAAAGTACTAGGGGGAATGTAGTCCACAACATCTGGAGTGCTGAAGATTGCCTAGATCGACTAACCTTGATCTAGGGGCAGCCGATGATCCATGGTTCCTGCACATGTTTCACCTGGGCATATTGAAGGACAGACTAAGAAAGGTGTTTGTTCTGTAGTACGCTGGGACGCAATAATCAACATAACTGCCATAGTCCTCTGTAAAGCGCATATCTCCGACATGATGCTTTCTCACAGCTCTTTGTCAGACTGTTTCCAGTTAAAAGAAAAAAATCTCAGGCACTCACTGTGATAAGTTTAAAGCAGTTTTAATGGATAAAGACCTGGGTATAGGTCGAAACATTGTGGATCCATTAAAACTGCTTTAAACGTATCACAGTGAGTACCTAAGATTTTTTTTTTCTTTTATGTAGATTATATGGGGTATGCTGCCCCATATTGAGTTAGCACCCTGTGATTTTTGTGAATGAGTGCAACCCTCTTTTTTTTTTTTTTTTTTTGAGACTGTTTCCAGTTGACACATTTAGCTATTAATGGTTTCCAAAATTGGACAGATTTGATATTTCTAATGCAGACTCATAACCGGTTATAATGCATTGACTGCCTGTATAAACATTAAGACTAAGTGCAGCACATGAGTTTTACATACTTCTGGTTGGCAATCATTATACATGACTGCAGTGCCTTTTATGGGGAACTGAAAGAAATTGTAGCCCATGCATACTATATACAATGTTTTCTTGTTTTTGGTTTTTTACAATTTGTTTTTGAAAGTAGGTCTTGTAATCTTCTATTATTTATAATAATACAATTACACTTTAGGGTTCAAACAGGACTTTTTCTGGTCTTGTTTCCTTTATATATTTGCATTGCAATTTCATTTACTTAGTTATTCAGTCGTTATTTTTTTTTTTTTTTTATTCAATGAAACTATAGTGTGTTTCTATATGTATGCATACTATTTCAATCAGTGTTAGGGCATTAGTAGGCTGATTCTCTCTGCCTGTTAATGGGAACCCAGCAGAACCTTTTTCATCATACTGTTGTAACAGAGAGGAAGGTAGTCAGGGGGCAGTAGTGTTGGGTGCCAGAGGGCCAACTTTGGGATAACTCCTTAACTCCTTAACACACTCCTGCTCGGGTGCCATTTTTAATCTGTGTTTTGTCTAATCATTTCAATGGCTTGACAATAAAAACATGGCTTTCACTGCACCCAAATCCTAGCCACTTCTGCAGGTGTTGAAATAATGTGGAAGTTTCACTGCCGTCATCAAACCTAACCAACCTTGAACAGCATTGATGGAATGAAAGCAGTTTTTGGTGAATTAAATAACTTCTGGTTTAAATCTGGTCAAACGCATGTTGAAGTTGCAGGTGTTCTGCTTAAAACACGGATATTTTATTTTTCTAGGTGTTTATTGCTCAATCACGAGGTTCTTCAAATCATCGGGATGTGGAAGACGAAGAGCTAACTAGGATCTTTGTAATGATTCCTAAATCATACACAGAAGATGATGTTAAAGAGAAATTCAAGGTATGAAATAGTTAAATGAAAACTATTGCTATTCTAAAAGTTACTCCATTAGGAAACAAAATTTGAAGCAATTCAGTAGTTCTAGCATTCTCAATCTTTATAGCATTTGCACAAAAAATAAATGTTTTGCAGAGTGAGGAACCATAAGCCTTCCTTGAAGGGACACTCCAGGCACCCAGACCACTCCTGCATATTGGAGTGGTCTGGGTGCCAACTCCCACTACCCTTAACCCTGCAAGTGTAATAAATTCACTCATTGCCTAACAGGGTTAAGTCCTCCTCCTCCTCTAGTGGCTGTCTATGAGTCAGCCACTAGAGGTTTTTCCAGTTTCTTAAAACACTTGTAGTGTTTAAAGAGATGCTGGACGTCCTCATGCAATGCCTGAGGACCTCCAGCATCGCCGGAATCCCCATTGGAAAGCATTAAATAATGCATTACTATGGGGCGGTGTAATGCGGGCGCCGCAATTGCCACACATGCGCATTAGGTCTCCCCCAACCGGCTGACGTTGGCGGAGCCTGCCCCAGCGCCGAGGGACATTGGCGCTGGATACAGGTTAGTCACTGAAGGGGTTTTAACTCCTGCAGCAACCTGGATGGGAGGGAGAGGGGACCTGCAGTGCCTTTGAGTTCTGCAATACCCAATCCATAAAGGGAATGCATGTCCTGACTCGAGCAGGTAAGTAAAAGTTCAATCTTGATTTCTTCTCATTAGGAAACCAGTGGTATAATGGCAATAGCCATTGGGAATGGGGGGTACAGAGAAGGAGACGCTTTTACCTTTCATGCCCACCAGGTGGAATTGTCTTATAAGTGTAAGTTTCCCCTTCTCTACCTCCTCTGTGCACTGGATATTGCCACTATGCTGTACGGACATTTTTATTATCAGGAGAAATAAAGCTTTAACTTTTTCTCTTTAACCTGCTCGAGTCTGGTAGTCCATTCCTTTTGGGAATCTGGTATTATGTATTCAATATTGTTAAAGGGATGAAGGATCCACCTGTCCACACTGTTTTGTTTTGTTTTTATTATTTTGCTCAGCATTGACTCCTTACTGAACCTATTTTAATTTTGTCTATTGCAATCAGCAAATTAAAGAGGCTAAAACCTTTCAAATACATTAAACTTGTATTGGTGCCCAGAGTGAGTGATTAGGGGGATATTTAAGTTTGCATAGAAAAAAAAATTGGTAAAAAGATTTCTAAGAACACAATGTAACAATGATTTGTTAAAGGGATCCTATAGTGCCAGGAAAACAAACCCGTTTTCCTGGCACTATAGGTTTAATAGGTCCCCATCTCTCTCGCACTCCACCCTCATGGGGGGGCTGAAGGGGTTAAAACCCCTTTAGCCACTTACCTGAATCCAGCGCAGATGTCCTTCGGCTCTGTCAAGCTCCACCCGCGTTGCTCTCCTGCCGACGGGGGAGACCCCTAATGCACATGCGTTTCAATGGTCGCATGCACATTAGACCTCCACATAGGAAAGCATTATTCAATGCTTTCCTATGGGGAAAATCTGATGCTGGAGGTCAGTGAGGACGTTCAGCGCCAGATAATGGACCAAAAGTCAGTTTGGATTTCGGAAGCCCTCTAGTGGCTGTCTGGTAGACTGCCACTGAGGGCAGACTTAGAGCTGCAATGTAAACATTGCAGTTCTATGGAACTGCAATGTTTTACATTGCAGTACTAAGTGCACCCAGACCACATCAATTAGCTGAAGTGTTATGGGTGCCTAGTGTCCCTTTTTAAAGCCTGAGTATGTGCAAAGTCTAGAAATAAGTTTAATCATTTTAAAGGGATACGGTAGTGCTAGGAATACAAATCTGTATGAAAATGAGTTGAATTTTATATACAAATAGAGAGAACGTGAGTACAGCTCTGAACATTTTTTTTTATAATTTGGCAATAAAAAAGTATTAATCAGTCTCTATTATCTTAGCAGATTTAGTCATTCATGCATTTATGAATGGCAAGGCCTGTTAAAGTCTGAGTGTGAATTAGACAGATCATCATTACGAACACCATGAATGATTTTGTAATTTTTCAAAAATGGCTGCTCAGATCAATGTCCTGTACTGAACCTACTTGCATGTGTAATTTTTTTTTTCTACCTCCTCTTCTAGCCTTACGGACAGATTGAGTATTGCTCAATTATTAAAAACAAAACTACAGGAGAAAGTAAAGGATTGGGATATGTAAGGTTCCTCAAACCCTCCCAAGCTGCCATTGCAATAGAAAATTGCGACCGAAGTAAGTAGCTTTTTAAAAATTGACAGGCTTGTTGTGAGCTACATAAGAATTGCAGGCTGTATTACCGAATCATATAGTTAAATGCAACTTAACCTACCTGATGATAGACATATAGATAGATGAATATCCCCCCCAAAACATTTCATTCTAAGCACCATAACCAGTGCACCTCACTTTGGCAAAAACTGGGGCTCTTACACTCTGCTAATGTGGTAATAAATTTCCAAATTTGTCTTTGTACTTTAGGCAACTGTTATAAGCTGTAGGAACTCTGAACGTCAAACGTTGACAATAACCAGGGAATCGCAGCCTATGGACAATGCGCCATAGCAACTACAATGAGCTGCAGTGGTTATGTTCCCTAAAGGACCACTTCAGACTTCTTTATTTTTTATTATGAAACTAAAATCACGGTTTTAGTATCTATACTCTCGATGCGTGCATGGTTTGACCTGAGGTCTGTGGAGGAGAAAAGGCAGTGTTTACATTGCCCCCTAGGGACACCACCTGTTGGTCACTGGAGGTGGTTCCTGGGGCAGTGCTGCACAGTAGGCAGCACTGCCATTCAACCTCTCCACGCTCTGCATGGAGACGCTGAATTTTTCTTATGCAGATGCATTGTTTCAATGCATCTCTATGAGGAGTTGCTGATTGGCCAAGCCTGCGTTTGGCCCCACCTGCTTGCCAATTTCAGCCAATCCAATGCTTTCCCTATTTTTATAAACTGGTTTTACAATAAGATACTCATCTCCAATAAAGCACTTCAGCCAGCTGAAGTCCTGCATGGATGAGGAGTGCTTCTTTAAAGTGTCTTTTTTTTTCTTTTTTAATCAAGGTTTTGTTAAATTTGTACAATGGTGAAATTGTCGGTTTTCCAGTCAGATGTGCTTGAATTATATACACATCATGTTTTTGTTTTGTGGAGTGGGCATTTACTTTTGTTGAAAATGTTGTGCAGTCATCTTAAAACTGAAAACATAATGTTAGATCAAAACTTTAAAGCCGTAATTTCTTTCTAGGTTATAAAGCAATCCTGGCTGAGCCTAAAAACAAGGGATCATCTGCAGAACCAGCAGAGTACCATGCCACTCCAAGGCAGCCAGAGCCATTAATTCATGACCACGCTTCTTCATTGTATTATGGTTTGTATTTTTATTTTTACAGTACCATTAATCTTTATGCACTGCAAAAACAGTTGAGCCTGGCCAAGAGTATTTTAAATTAAGTAATATTGGGGGAGGAGAGAATAAAATATATATATATATATATATATATATATACATACATATATACAGAGGGCTGCACTCACCATGCTTGCATTATAGGGTGCTGCTGGGGCCAAAATATACAAAACACAGAATCCAGCGCACTCGCTTATTCACTAAACAATGATTTCAAATCTTAGAGATTGTCACCTAGGCAAAAAATAATGGGGGGTTTAGTTACATTACATACACCTGTGACAGGGAGGGTGCCTCATTCCAGGACCCTATTTAGCCTTGACTTGCAGAGAGTCCCAGTAAGGAAGTATTTCCCAAATAAGTGGATTAATCTCATAAGAGCAAGCATTAGGCTGCTAGAGTAGGACCTGCCAAGAATGGGGTACATTGACGTTGTGGCAGGCTTATGCAATGTATGATCATATAATGTAACTAAACCCCCATTATTTTTTACCTAGGTGAGGTGTTTTTAAATAAAACTATATTATAATCTCTAAGGGGTGTGTATGTGTATATATATGTGTGTGTGTGTATATATATATATATATATATAATATAATATAATGAGTGTGTGTATGGTTTTACATTTTCTAATGTTAGTGTTTTTTTGTTTTCCCCAACATTGATTATTTGTACATAATAAACATTTAATATTGACCTCTTCTTTACATATGTCAATTAAATGTATAAAAATGGTATTAAGAATATAGATGTTTGGTTTGATTGTGGCACATAATTTAATTTTATTACTATTTTTTTTTTCTTATTCTTTAAAAGAACAATACGATTACTCCGCCTATGAGAAGATTGCAGACCCGCGAACTCAGGAAGTGGTGTCAAAGCGTCTGACTGTTGTTTCCAGAGTTCCTTTGGTTCAAGAGCAGGTCTACAGTTTATTTGATCTTATTCCAGGACTTGAATTTTGTGAGGTTCAGCGAGATCTGTACTCTAGCTTTGGTAAGATGGTAAAACCTATAGTTCTAACTCATTTCTCAGTAGTCAACATCAATAGTGACAGAAAAACTGTCAAAATTCAGAAATTATTTTTCTTTGGCAGTTTTTAATTTTTATGTGTTTAGTAGTCTTCAATTCTGAACTGAATGAAGCATATTTTTTTTTAATTATGAAAGCGTAACTTGACCCCACCAGGAAATGAACCTGCAAAATACTTAAGCTGGAAAACCAGCTACTGATCTATCTCAAGATTATTTTCCTCTTTTCCTAACATATAGTGACAGTACACTAGAAATGCTCTTACATTTAAATTGAATAGTTATCATTGGTCCCAGGCACAGTTTTTTTTTTACTTTTCCTGTTAGCAAAGCAGACAGGTAAGTGGTGGAGTTTTAGCAGATGGTGAGACAGCACAGGAAGAAGCGCGGAGCTGTTGGGTGGTAGCAGAAGCGGCAAAAATTCACCAGGTGTTGTAAGTTACAGAATGGAGGCCAGGTGTCTCTGTTTCATAGACTGAAAATGCGGACGGTGCATTCCTCTGCAAAATGAGCCAGTCACTGAGAATACAAGAGTAGGCTTCATGGTCAAAAGCTTGTACAGCCAATACGACGCGCACACACAGGAAGTGTTTACATTACACTGCATGTTTGTCATATAACTGCGCATTGGTTGTTCCAGGTACCAAACTTTGAATGTGACCTGCTTATTTAAAATCTGTATGACTAATCTGACCCTAGGGTGCTTCGTACATGAAATACCGCCAGACTGCATTCACTGAATGTTAAATCAGATATGGAGATCTATTTGCAAAGAAGTGCTTGATTTTGAAGATTGGAACAACTTTTTGTTAATTTTAGAGGAAACTCTCAAGGAAAATGCAGCATCTAAGTGAACAATTGCATGATGGATCAGACACCATTTAGACAGCATACTAAGCTATGGAGAGTTGGTTCTTTTTAAAAAATCAGGACCGTTTATATTCTGGTGAAGCAATGGTTTCACCAGAAGATATATATGCAAAGGCACAACTTTGTATTTTACACGTTTATTAAACATTACAGACTAGACACTGGGTCCTCATGACATTGGGTGAAGCAGCATTTGGGTGCAAGGTTGTGACGAACCATTTAGGATCTTACTATATCTCTAATGTACTGCTCCTTATACTGTAGGAAACAAATAGTTTTGTTTTATGTAAATCTTGTTCCTTGGTGTGGGTAGTAGTACAAATTTTCCTATTTATTTATTTTTTAAATTAAATTTTTTACTTTGTATCAGTTTGGTGTTCTTGCTATTACTGAGGGTCCTCTGGATGATTAAGGCATCTAAAAGTCCTGAGAGGGAGGGACCATCCTGAATATTTTAAATTACACAGGAGGTTATAAGAACATCCCTAGTGTACTGCCATAAAAAGTGTTTAAGTAAAAAAAAAAAAAAAGATAGAGATGCAAATAGCTATGGAGTTCACAAAAATTCTGGTGTTACCTATCTTTTCCCTAAATACACAGGTTAACTGATACCATGTTGTGCTATTTTAGCTTGCACAGGTATAAAACTAGTAATTATTAAATCTGTCTTTCCTGATTTAAATATATTGATATCATTATCTTATGATGAAAGTGTTTCTTTTTAAAGCAGATATCTGTATGTTTATTTCTTCGTGACATTGTTAAAATATGTATGCATTGTCCTTGGCATTGAAGCCTGTTAACCATGACACACTGAATCAATTATGTTCTCAGGAGTCAACCGCCTTGTTATTTTAGGCATACAATCTTCTAGTGGTGTATTTTTTTTTTTTTTTTTTTTTTTTTTTTTTTTTTTGTTTCTAATAGTACTTTTATGACAATCGAATATTGCACCTGCATACTCTTATTTGTTCCAGCAGACACACCAGAACACATTTAAAATAAACACCAGGAGCACGCATTATGCTCTTAAATAGCCCCCCTGTGCTTGTATCTGTTGTAGTAATATCATAAACTCGCATGGTCTTTCACCCCAAGTGTAATTAAATTTTATTCACCTACAATAGTTGTTTCAAATCTGTTTAAAGGAACACTCCAAGCACCATAATTACTACAGTCTGCCCTGGCGCCCCCCAAGGGAAAATAATCAAGTAATTTTGATTAGGTGTCTCTTTTTATGGAGCTGGAATCTCCTGCAAGGAGTTTTTGTTTTAGTTCCAATGAGCAAAGTCCTGCAACCCCCAGGCATACGTCAATGCATGATCATTTAGGGGACACAAGAGGAGATGTCTTGACTTGTAAGTTGTTCAGCTGTTTGCAATTTGTTATGGTGCTTGGAGTGTTCCTTTTACACAATATTCCCAACAGATTAATATGTGTCTGATCAAGCTGTAGTAATCTTTACCTGTTACGCTTTGAAGAACTGATGTTTTAAATGTAGTGGTAGCCTTTTTTACTTTCAAATACACCATCATCAATACTAAATAAAATGGTCAATTAATGGCATTTGATACCAATAGCCAAATAAACCTCATGTTTACAATTCAGTCGGTCAATTAACTCTTACTTTCCACTGGAGAAAGGATGATGTTAGATCGAAATCTTTTTATTTAGCTTTTACTTAAACTGCTGTGTGGGTTTAAAGAATGAATTGCCAAGATGAAGCGTGTATGCCACGTAAAAAATAATAATTTATTTTTTATTTTTTTTTAAGTGTTCCATGGTGGTGGAAATAAAGTGTCTAAACCAGCCACTATAACAAGCAGTTCTCCTTTTTAAAATATATTTTTTGTTTTTTCCTGTTAGGTCATGTTGTGGTCCAGTATCAAAATGTTTCATCTGCCATATATGCTAAATACAAGCTGCATGGTTTTGAATACCCACCTGGAAATCGACTTGGTGTCACTTACTTAAGTGATGGTTCAGATAACACAGAGTAAGTATGATTACCGACTCTCTTTCCTAGTTTCCTGACAGTTTTTTGCTCTTTGAGAACTCTTTTGCCATTCTCTCTTGATGTTACATACAGTCACACGTCAGAGAGAGGTAAATCAAATGTAAACGAATTTAGGAAAATGGAGTTAAATATGTTAATCATTTGAACACTGAAAATTGCTGACTTGTGTGCACTGAGTGATTTTCATATTCCCATTATAATTATAGTTTTCTGGATTTTCTTTATAGCTTGCTTAGAAAAATGGCCTCACAGATGGTGGCTGCTCAGGTAAAGTCTCTGGTGTGGAATTCCCAAGTTACACCACAATATCCTGCAACATCAGTAAGTCATTTTCTGAATTTAGAAACAAGTAGCTTTAACTATATATTGGTCTATATGTTTCTGTTTAAATATCTTCAACACTAACATTTGGTCAGTTTGCATATTGCACAATTGTGCTACTTTCCATTAACTTTGAGAGCAGTTCAAAATGCTGTAAATGTGTTTTAGCAACATAGCTGTCATTGTGCACATTATAGCTTTTAATTTATTTGTTGTTTTTTTTTTTTTTTTTACAAGTTGCTTTTGTTTGTAACTCTCTCTTAATCTTTTAAAACCGATCTAAATCTAGTTTTATGAAGATTCTTTGTCCTGCAGGGGATTTAAGCAGATGTGTTGGGTGGAGTATTCTGACAAATAGTATCATGAAAAGATATATTCTAGAGCAAATAATATTTACATAAAGGCAAATAAGCTTTGAATCTTCATAAATAAAAACAATCAGTTTGTATAGTAAGCATATTGACATTAAAGGAACACTATAGGGTCAGGAACACAAACATGTATTCCTGACCCTATAGTGTTAAAACTACCATCTAGCTGACCTCCCCACATTGCCCTAAATATAGTAAAATCTTACTTGTATGCAAGTCTCGAGCTGCTGGCTCTTCCCCTGTCTGTCTCTGAAATCATCAGAAGTGGTGGTCTGAGCCAATCACAATGCTTTCCAATAAGATTGGCTGAGACTGTCAAGGCAGCATATCAGGGGCAGAGCCAGCACAAGTCAAACAGTCCTGACCAATCAGCATCTCCTCATAGAGATGCATTGAATCAATGCATCTCTATGAGGCAAGTTGAGTGTCTGCATGCAGAGGGTGGATACACTGAATGTTGTGATGCACACTAGGCACGTTTGCCCCAGGAAAAACTTCTAACAGCCATCTAAGGAATGGCCAGTAAAGTTATCACTAGGCTTTAATGCAAACACTGCATTTTCTCTGAAAAGACCGTGTTTACTGCAAAAAGCCCAAAGGTAATGATTCTACTCACCAGAACAAATGCAATCAGCTGTAGTTGCTCTGGTGACTAGTGTCCCTTCAAAGTTGGTTACATATATAGTCTGGCATCTCCTTATAACTTTTAATTTAGACAACGCCCACATTTAATAAAACAATGTTCATTGGTCATGGATAGAGCAGACACTTTACATTAAAATAATATCATATATAATAGTGTGTATGTGTATATAATTCTGCCCCCCACCCCATCCCACATGTCAATCTTGACAATGTCCGTTTTTGGTACAGGTTAGTCTGCTCTTCTTCTCACAGCAGCAACATGAACTCATTGTATTTGATTTGATTGCACATACAGCAAGTTCATCTTGATCTTGCTTTAGAGTGTTTAAGACAGGGATAGTCAGCCTTCTGCAATCTAGATGTTTGGACTGCATCTCCCATTAAGTTCTTACAGCCAAAATATCCCTCCCTCCCTCACCTGCCGCCAGCCCTCCAATGTGTCTTCACGGAGGAGAGATCAGAGATCTCCCTCCCTGGTCCGCAGGCACTGTGCGGGCAGCCGGCAGGGGAGGGAGAGAGGACCCGGGAGCTCAGCCTGCAGCTCCTCCATGTCCTACTCCCTCGAGCACTGGGTGTTGCCACGGTAACCACGGCAACGCTCCGGATCTCGCGAGAGTGAACTCTAGCCCTGGAGCTACAGACTAGAGTTCACTCTCACCTCTGCGACTACCAGGGATTTCCCATGGACCACCAGGGATTGAGAAATGGGGGGGACATATATTTATTTATTTTTATTAAAAAAAAAGAATTTTTAAAAAAGCCCTCCTTCCCTCCCCCCACCTCATACACACTACACCCCACATACACACTACACCCCATGCGCACACACACTGCACCACTCACGCACTGCAGCCCCATATCCTACCTGACCACAGGTAAGTTGTCAAACTGTTCTTAAATGACTACTTACTCTGGGATGGGGTCCTTGCACCATAGCCACTACACAGAGCTATTGTGGCTGGATTATTTCTTTAAAGGGTCACTATAGTGTCAGGAAAACAAAGTGGTTTTCCTGACACTATAGTGCCCTGAGGGTGCCCCCTTCAGTAGCTTACCTTATTCTAGCGCCGGGCTCCCTCTGCGCTGGTGACCTCTCCTCCCCTGCCAACGTCAGCGGAGCCGCATGTGCGGCAAGCGCCGCGCGCATTCAAGCTGTCCATAGGAAAGCTATTCTCAATGCTTTCCTATGGACGCTCTGCACGATGGAGGCATAATATGCTTCCAGCGTCGCAGATGCCTCTAGTGGCTGTCCGGAAGACAGTCACTAGAGGCTGGCTTAACCCTGCAGTGTAAACATAGCAGTTTCTCTGAAACTACTATGTTTGCATCTGCAGGGTTAAAACGTGAGGGACCTGGCACCCAGACCACTTCATTGAGCTTAAGTGGTCTGGGTGACTATAGTGTCCCTTTAAATAATCTACAAGTGCCCCTACTGAGATCAGGCTCTGGATCCGCCCCTGGGCACAAGGTATCTGGATCTCTGTCAGGGAGGCACTGGAAGTATAGAAATGTAACAGGTGGATTCTGCCACTGCTAATAAAGAACTTCGGTTCCTGTGATCTAATGCCAGGGCAGTATCTCTGCAGAGGATTACTTTTGTGTTTCTTTAATTTCATACTGTTTATGTTCTGTTATTCTGACCGAACAAACCTTTCAAGATAGAAGATGCTAACTGTGATAACATCTTGTTAACCCCTTAAGGACACAGCTTCAGAAATAAAAGGGAATCATGACGGAATATTTCCGTCATGTGTCCTTAATGGGTTAATATGGCTGCTTGTGAATCCTATTGAGCAGATGACGGCAATGCTTTGTGCTCATTGACATTTTATATTGTATAATGACAACTTTTCCTCTGTGATTGGCAAGTCAAACTGCATTTCCCTTCTTTTTGAAAGGCATAAGCAGGAAATTATAGGTTTTGGCTGTCATATGCTGAGCGAACATAGATTGATGTATTGAGACCATGTGTAGTGTGTGAATGACATTTCAGTATGGTAGCCCAGGAATATGTAGGTTATCTTGTTTTCCTTTAGCAAGGCTTCACTAGATACGAAGAATAAACTCCACTGAAGCTTACTTTGTTGTACTTGCATGGTTCCTTTTGTTGCATTAGTGCTAAGGCAACATTTCAACCACAAAAGGTGCTTTTTGGGGAGTTTTTTTTTTTGTCAATCTTTTTTATTGCCGCTGAGAGAGCTCAGTGTGTTAATGCATCATAAGTAGAATATGTTCAACCCTTGTTCAATTCCTGGCAGGGTGTCATTAGACTGGGTAATAGTAACATCCCCTGTATTAACCGTTTTGAAACCCTAATATTTGTGTTCAGTGAAGTTTCCCTCAAATTTTAATTGATAAAATCACATAATTATGTTAAGATTACACAAATATACACACGCTATTTATATTTATTTATAGATGGAGGGAGATATATAATGTCAAGTCATTTCACTCTAAGTGTATTTTGTTATATATTTAGATCTATATCTATGTATAGATATCTATATAGGTAGATATCGATAGCTAGGGAAGCAAAATCCAATTAGGTTATGGTGGGGAAAAATTGTGATTGAAAACCCCTTCCACCTGAAGTCTGTGGATAATTAATACAATGGTAAACAAAAATCTGCACACCAGTCAAGCCATAAGACTTGCTTTTCCCACAGAAATCACAAATTTGCAGTGATGTTACTATCGCAAAGGATTCTGGGCGGGCATATGCAAATTAGTGTAACAGAGAATCACATTTTTAGCCTCATTCCACAGTTTTTCCCCACCATAACCTTTTTGGATTTTGCTTCCCAAGCACTACCAAGCCTCAATAAGCAAACCAGTAACAAACCTCATGCTGATGGGTTTTGCATATTTTCCTATATTGTGTTTCAAGCTGTTGTATACAGCAAACACAGATTAAAAGGAATCCATGTTTAAAATGGAATGAGGCAAAAATGTGTTTCTTTGTTACACTAATTTGCATATGCCCACCCAGAATCCTTTGCAGTTGTAACATCGCTGCAGTTTTGGGATTTCTGTGGGAAAAGCAAGTCTTATGGCTTGACTGGTGTACAGATCTTTGTTTAACATTGTTTGTTATATATATATATATATATATATATATATATATATATATATATATATATATATATATATATATATATATATATATATATATATATCTCTATCTATATATCTATCTATATATATATCTATCTATATATATATCTATATATCTATCTATATATCTATATATCTATATATCTATATATATATCTATATATCTATATATATATATATCTATATCTATATCACACACAGTATAAAATATATATCTTATATATGTACGTGTATTTTAATATGAATATATATAATTATATTAGTATTAAAATACAGTGTGGTGTTTTTTTTTTTTTTTTACTTTATTCACCAGCAGTACCCCTGCAGCCAGATCCACAGGCCGCTATGCCAGCCATGTGATTTGTTCTTTGAGAGTGATAACATGGCCCCGGGGGCCTGATTAGCCGTTGGAGGACTGCCTAGGCTGTCAGGCAGTCCTCCGGAAGCGGAGCACTGGGAAGGCATGTATTCCCGAGGCTCGTGGGCTGCAAGCAGTTACGGCGTTCTATGCCGCTGCACTGGCTTTAAAGCCCATTGAATGTGGGACGGCAAAGAACGAAGTTAAGGGCTTAAGCAATAATAAATGGGGAAGTATTGGATTGGTTGAGATCATCAATCTTTATGATCTTAATCAAGGAGGTGGGATTGGCAAAACAAATTTTTGTTTTTTCTATTGTTAATACTATTGCAATAATATCAAAGTTACACTATAGTGCACATTAAGTACAAGGTAAGTGGTGTGTTCATTACTGTGATAGTTGGTGGGCATTTAGATACAGCTGTTTAAATCCTGAATTTGATTTCCAGCAGGCATTTGAGCGGGCATATGCATCCCCTGTCGCATCTCAGCTCCAGACAGATGCTTCCCTTCCACCCCTCAAAAAGAAAGCTCCAGGTGATGCACAAACTAAGGAAAGACTTTTTGTAGTATTCAACCCACACCCACTGAGCTTGGATATCATGGAAGATGTGTTCTGGTAAGGTTCTGTCTACATGCTTTGACCTTAATTCGTAATGGTTCTATAACTGATCAGTGTTTTTGAGCTCAAATGTTGGATAGATAAATTATATATAATTCTATAATTTCTTATTTTTTTTTTTATTTTTTTTATTTAAAGTCTAAGCTTCGTGTCAGCCTTCTGTTTTTATTATTATTATTATTATTATTATTATTTTTTTTTTTTTTTTTATCTGAACGGGAACGTAAAGGGTTGAACATTCAACCAAGGCGCTGATCAGCCACAACATTAAAACCGTCTGCCCAATATCACGTAGGTCCCCCTCATGTGCCAAAACTGCTTTGATGCATGGAGGCATGGACTCCACAAGACTTCTAAACATCTTCTGTGGTATCTGGCAAGAGAATGCCCAAACATTTGTGCTGTCATGCTGAATTTCTGTGTAAATACCTGAGCAACAAAAGTTGCTTTCTATTGCTTTGTTCACTATGGTACATGCTTTAAAGCGCAACGGTCACATCTTTGATTTTTACGCAGCTTGATAGCTTACTAAAACTGAATTTTAACCATGAAGTTTTGGTACATGTGGCATGTATTTTACATATACATATGGTATAAGGTGGAGTAAATATGTACAATAAATCTTCAAATAGTAGTGGCAATAAAATAGTCCAAATGAGAATATTCTCTAGAATATAAACATAGATAAAAAAGAAATAGTGCAATATAGCCAATATACAATCAGTAATGCAATATGTGTAAAAGATAAAGCACTCACAAACATAGAGCCAATGCAAAGGCTCAATAATGGGGCTCTGTGGGTACTAAAGGGACCCACTTCCTACTTGTTGCTGCCTGTAGTATCCAAATATAGGATGTCCTCTCAGGATGTATCAAAAATAAAGTGCTTTATTGGAATATGCACATAAATATATAAAATACATAAAAATCAATAGAAAACCTTAGTCTTGAAGGTTGGTCCTTATCTAAGGTGCAAAACTCGTTTCGCCTCGTCTAGAGGATTCCTCAGTTAACCCACAATAAGGTGTTTTGAGTTTTTGCTATTTGGTGTCACTAATTGGGATATTGTAACATAGCAATTTTTATTGTATTTTGCATATGTTTTCTTAACCCATTTCAAAAATGTATTTCTGAAAAATTTCACTTTTATTTTTGTGCATTGAAAATCCATTGTGTTTCTCTTCTTCTATTCTAGTCGGTTTGGAAATCTAATCGAGGTGTACATTGTGCCGGGTAAAAATGTTGGCTACGTTAAATACGCTGATGTATCCAGCGCAAATGAAGCTATTGTTGCCTTACATGGAAAAATGGTAAATCACGTGAAGCTGAAAGTGATGCAGGCTGAGTCTCCTCGAGATGAGTCCAATAAGAGACAGAGAACTTACTGACTTAATTCTATTCCGGTAAGTGATTCATATATCCCTTGTTCTGAAGATGAAAAACTTTGACTTTCAGGGACACCCACATGCAGTGTTTAACCATTTAAATATTTCAGAGACACTTGCATGTCGTGTTTAACCATTCGATATCTTGGATTGTATAATTGTATCCACTTCTTCATGTTAACAGCTTTTAGTACTGCTTTAGTCACATTAGAATACTGGGAGGCTTTAGCCAGACTGATTTAATTTAGGAGGACAAAAAAGTAAGAAAATATATTGATTACTTTTAAACAATCAAGCTTGCATTGCACATCATACACAGGTTGAGTTCCATTCCAGTTCTCTCAATCACATTGTTTTGAAGGAATTAAGTAGAATAATTTAAAAACCTCTGTAAATTAGCTTAATTCTCCAATATCTGCTGAAATATGTTCAGTTTACACAAGTGACTGGAAGCTAGCGACAGCTGAAGGAAGTGACAAAACTTGACAGAGGTAGTTCTGCCTTTTGTAGAGTTTTGTCAACTTGAGTATTCTGCAGGAGACAAAGTAATCCCCATTATATTTTGACAATGTTGGAATTTCAATGTAATTTCTTTATGAGCATTTCATAAAGACATTATAATTCTGTCAGAAACATCAGCCTTTGCCTGCTAGTGTAAACATTAGTGCTCAATTATATTTTTCCATTCAGATTTTTTATTTTGTATACATATATGCATACACATGAAGTCTTGTTTTGTTTTTTTGTCCCACATATATATTAGGGTTTCAAAACGGGCTAATCCAAGAACAGTAAACTGTAGAAAACGAAATGCTGAATAGCAAAATTAAGGCCAAAATAGCCACATCTGTTTTTGGGGTTTTTTTGTCAACTATTTTGGCCCTAATATTGGAATTGATTTTGATTTACACTTTCCTACAATTCACTGTTTAATGTACACAAGATATAATGCCAAACCGCTTTCTAGCTAATTACATGATTTGTAATAAGCAGTAATTTTCCTGTGGATGTTGCATGATACATATTTATATCCATATATAAATTTAGATTTTCACTGTTTATAGAACTTTTGCAGCATTTAAATTTCTTTTTCAATCTTAAAGGGACACTCCAGACACGTCTGATATATTTTTTTATAATTTATAAATGCTAGTTAAATCACTGTGTATTTTATTTGAATTGCATGCGAGTATATTTGCACATATAGTATGCATGGTTACTAACAAGTATCTGAGCAATAAGGGCATTGCAGGTCCTTGGTGCAGCCTGTGTAAAAGCCCAGTTGTGTGCACTAGAGGCCTCCCTCTCCCTGGCTTATAAAATGCATCCATTATATGTTAAGACAAATATACTCTTGTACGGTACAGTACAGGAAGAGGCCAGCATTTCCAGACCCCGATAGAAATTAATTATAGCCTTGGTGAGGAAAAAAAATACAATTCTCCATCAGGTGAAGACCGCACTTGAATAAAAGAGATGGTAAGTGGAACTTAATAGGATAAATTTAGTGTAATTGGTTTGCAATGCAACACAAACTTTAGCCCATGATAACAAAGTTAAAGGAGCCAAATTTAAAATGGTGAGAATATGTCACAAGCACCAGATTGACAGTTATTTTTTAATGGAGTAGTTGCTATGTAACGCTATTTTTGAGACCGTTACACAAATGTTAATCACTCTGAGAAAGCAGAGACTGCTTCAGGTTTCCCTTTTGTGTATCGTCTACACCAGTGTTCCCAACCCAGTTCTCAAGTACCCCCTACCAGTCCAGGATTTAGGGATTAACCAATTGTGTGTAAGGTGTTTTTAGAAACAAAAATCCCTAAATCCTGGACTGGTAGGAGGTACGTGAAGACTTGGTTGGGAACCCCTGATCTAAACAATGCAGGCACCTAGGAATAGTAGAGAACACCTTGTAATATCTTCTTTCCTTGTGAGATAGGTGAACAGTAGGGGAAAGAGGATAAATTCATTCTTTTCAAAATATGGGGGGACGGGTAGTCAGTTTGTATGTATATAAACTAAAGCTTAGCATGATTGAAGAAGTGATATAGGGGTGAAAATAGTTGACTAATTGTGATTTGCAAGTCTGTTTAATTAGGTATGTGTGCAACACTGGGTGCTAATAAAATGTTGTATGTGTGTGCTACATTTTAGGAAAAACCTGTCAAGCACAGGTTTAGTACAATTAAGATATGCACATTTTTCAGTGTGGTCTAATCTGTTATTCTTACACTAATCATGTGTTTATTTTTAGGTGTTGTAGAATGCAAATAAAATGCTATGAACTATTATTGGGTTTGTTTTTTGAAGATTAGTCTAGTCCTTAACTTACTGCTTTTTTACAGAAATGTCAATCCTATTTATAGTACGTGGGAAATATTTTATCTTCTTTTTATAGGACTTTATCAAAATCTTTGTGTAACGCACTACTATTGATTAAAATGAGACTGGAGATAGGTCACTTCCACCCTGTCAAGCCACATGCAGTGACATGTGTTGACTGTCTGCTATCTCCAATGGCAAATCTTTGTTGAGAAATGTATCTATTGTATTTAAGCACAGATTGTAATCTGTAACAGACTCATTTAAATGGCCACTCTGAGCACCATAACCACTACAGCCATATGTAGTGATTATACTGCTAAGAAACCATGCATGTCATTCTTTATTCTAATATTAGTAGAATATTAGAATCCCCAGCACTTAAATCCTAGCCCTTAATTTTCAACTTCATAATGAGGAAATGTATCTTCCTTGTCCATCAATCAAAACATCTGTACAGAGTGAACATGCACTGCTAACGGTGTTTAGGCAGCACAAAAAGGATTTGTGACAAATTGGCTTGGTTGGATGCCTAGCTTGCTCTCTGCTTATTGTACGTAGTGCATGCTCACACCATACAAGAACTTGGTTGATTAATGTGGAAGTAAGATACCCTCGTTTTAAATCTGATTCTCCTTTTGGCTTTGTCAAACTAAAAAAAGTTTCAAGAAGGGTAAAACAAAAAAAAAACTTAGACCACACACAGCTTCCTAGCACCATTTCCATTGCAATACTTTGTAGAGGCTATGATGCTCATAGCATCCATTTCAAGTTCTGTTAGGTGATGTATGATTGAATGACATTGACTCTGCTCAGTTAACTATATTTTCATCATTGTATTTTGCTCTTTCTGCAGAACAGAGACTAAGTTATGACATGACCCTCAGCTGACTGACTGAAACGTGACTGGAGACAGCTTATATGTAATTTAGTTTAAAAAAAAAAAAAAAAATGTTCAAATTCTTTTTTGAGAAGAGAAAAAAAAAACGTAATCTGCATTTTGAGATTTTTTTTATAAAAAAAAATATAATGAAATGCAAGTTGCAATCTTAAACAGTTGATCTTTTTTTTTTATTGTTGAATTTATGCAGAATATGTACTTGCTTCGTTTAATAAAATTTACACTTAATCTAATTTTGTGTCTTTTTGTTTAATGGGGGCTTTGTGGGACTTGAAGGGCCAAGAAGGGGAAAAATAAATAAATATAGTTAAACTGAATTACAAGCTACCAGAACAAAAAATGGAGCAGTGGTTTAATGTAAACTTTTACGCAGCTTTTTTCTGATGACCAAAGGAGTTCAGAGGTTACGTGGAAAAAAACAAAAATAATCTGTATATGATACACATGAGAGGCCCAAGAGGAGATGTGGTGGCCTTTTCACAATTGGTGATGCCTAATGCTCAACCAGTGGTTTTGGCAGTTGAGTACTGATATATACATTGTATTGCATACAGCTATGTGAATTTAAACTGGTATTAAGATTCGCCCTTAACCCACCAGAGGTTTCATAAGTTGGGAAACTTGGCACTCTTAGACAGGCAAGGTTTCCTATTTCTGACCGTACTTAATATTAATATTCCTGGAATCAGATCAACTTAGTGCATTTGTAGGTTTTAGCCATCTTTTTGTGCTGTGGTTTACTCCACACTCAGATCTCTTTGCAGCTTTATAGTGCATATTCCACCTTCTAAGCCTTGTCTCCTCTTTTCACGCATGTCATTCTAGCCAAGCCGGACAGCAATAACAGGCTGAGGGTGCTATGGGTTGTTCAGTCCAGGACTCCTAATGTATTCTTTTATCGCCATAACAAGTGATGGTGTTTATGATGGATGTTGTGTCCCTTTAAAGTAAAACTTAAATCTTGGTTGGTGTAGTTTATGCTAAAACTCCCTTGAGGAGTTTTACACAAGTTACATTAAAAAAAAATAAAAAATTATTTTGTCCTAAATATGAAGAAAATCTGACCTCATTTTAAAGTTCAGTTCCAGAATTAAAACCCATGGGAGAAAAGCTCTATATAAATTAATGCACATGGGAACTTACCATACTTTCATCAGACGTTCAAGTCTGAAAGCTAATTGGAAACTGCATACATTTTCTGCAGAGGAGACTTGCTATTTTGCTGTGACCCAAACCGATGGTGTATGCACTATACAAAAATGCATTATGTATTGATTAAACTCTGAAATGGCAAGAAAATTTCAAATGGCAACATTACATACACACAACACTACAGACATTACACCCCTACATTCACATACATGCTTACATTCAAACACTGCTCAGTGCTAAATCCAACCCTGCAAGGGTAGGCATATGGTAGGTCCTCATCTGGCAAAATATTGTGGGAGTAGTATGACCGATGAGGATCTACGTTTAGCCATCCTTGCGATAGGGAACACAAATAGGTTCTTGCACCAGGGCATTCTCTACTTTAGTTCCATCACTGAACCAACGAGATAAGATACGTCTCGTAAAATACTCAGGATGCCGCCCTTTTATCACAAAGTGCTGTGTTTGTGGAAAACCATGATTAACTATAGAAAAGAGTCTAAATCATCGCAATATAATATTTACGAGATACAATGTTAAACAAAAATCTGCACACCAGTCAAGCCATAAGACTTGCTTTTCCCACAGAAATCACAAATTTGCAGTGATGTTACTACCGCAAAGGATTGAGGGTGGGCATATGCAAATTAGTTCAACAAAGAATCACATTTTTGCCTCATTCCATTTTAAACATGGATTCCTTTGAGTCTGTGTTTGCTGTATACAACAGCTTTGAAAGTGTGTGTCTGTGTCCGCCCCCAACCTTCGGTGGGTCCCTGCTTAGTTCTCAAGCTTGTTCTAGCTCATCTTGTGCCATTTAAAGAGTGAACCAGGCCATGCATTTAAGACTGATTCCACCCAAAAGGGCAGAATAGATCCAAAATACAGTCCAGCTCTCTCTGCATGTGAGATACAGCAATCCCAGATGATTGTTTCAGCCTTGTGAGGTATAGCCAATATCTCTCTAGGCACTGTGAGCAAGTGGTCCACGTCTGGATTACCCTTTTTAAAAATAAGGAGAGCAAAAAAACAAGTTGCAAGATAGTGCTGAGATTGGACAGCAGCTCAATTAGCCTGCCCCTTGGTGGGTCCCTGCTCAATTCTCAAGATGGTTTTAGCTCATCTTGTTCCATTACAGAGAGAACCAGGCCATTTGCATCTCCGACTGATTCCACCCAAAAGGCCAGAACAGATGCAAAATACAGGCCGTCTCTCTCTCTCTGAACAAGAAATACAGCAAACCCCTACTTGCTTCAGGGAGGTGTGACTAGGGTTTATAAACAAAGTGATTTAACTACTAAATGGAAGAAAATTAAGCAGTGAGACTGCAGGGACATGATCTATACACCAAAACTGCTTCACTAAGCTAAAGTTGTTTTGGTGACTATAGTGTCCCTTTAAGCTTAAAGGGCAATCCAGATGTGGACCCCTTGCTCACGGTGCCTAGAGAGATATTGGCTATACCTCACTGATGATACATTACAAGTTTGAAACGATTGTCTTGGGTTGCTGTATCTCTCGTGCAGAGGGAACTTGCTGGCATTTCGGATCTGGGCTACCCGTACGGGTGGGACCGGTCTGATATGCTTCAACTATGGTCTCTCTGTAATGGCACAAGATGAGCTAAAACCAGCTTGGGATCCAAGCGGTGACCTACTGAAGGGCAGATTAATTGAGTTGTTGTCCGTTCTCATCTCTCTTGCCACTTCTTTTTCTTAACAGGGGGTTGAAATCTTTATCATGGAATCACTATGAGTCCATGATAAAGATTTCACCCCCCTGCCTCATTCCATGCACTTACCTGGTCCTGGGAGCTCCTCTCTATTTCCTCCTGTGCGGCCGTCAGCAAAGAGCGCTGGGAGGAAGCTAAGTCATCGCGTGTGACCTCACTTCCTTGCAGCGGTCACGAAAAAAAATCTATGGATTACATCTGCTGGACCCGAGGAAAAACATATGCGAATTCGTGAAGCCACAGATTCAGACGTGCATATTTTCGGGGTATTACTGTACATAATTATTTGATTTTATTCATTATAATTTGAAGGACCTGACACATATGAGTGTTTAAAACAATAAAACCAGTGGGGTACCTACCATAGTCACAGGGGTCACAGCTGCGACCGGGCCCTTCACTCCAGGGGGCCCAGCCGCAGCCCCTGCAACTGTGGGCCGGATGGATACCTTCTGGGCTGGTGCACAGCCGCACTGGCCCAAGTCTGCATGTCTCGCAGGAGGGGAGAGCTGTCTGTGAGAGAGAGAGAGAGAGAGAGAGAGTGTATGTGTGTGCCTGTATGTATGTGTGTGTCTGCATGTGTGGTGGAGCGCTGACGGATGGGGGGGCCCAAGGGCAATTTTCGCACGAGGGCCCTGTGGTTTCTAGTTACGTTAATTTTCTGGGCTGCCATACCGTCTCAAAGGCAACATAGCCAATATGGCAAATAGCAATTTACAAAAACAGAAATTAGCAAATGTTATGTTTGACCCTGTAACTTTCCAAATCACCATAAAACCTGTACTTGAGGGGTACTATTGTACTCGTAAGACATTACTCTACACAAATATGAGTGTTTTAGAGCAGTAAAATGTATTATACTGATATCATCTGTGAAATGGCAGTTTATGTATGAAAAACGGCTACTAAAAAAGACTGGACATACCCCATTTTGAATACCGTGGGTTGTCTAGTTTTACAAATGGTATGCCATGAAGGGGTTAATTTCCATTCCTGGACTGCCATATGATCTCAAAGGCAACATAGGCCCAGCAAAACAATCTGGCAAATTACAATGTACAAACATGGAAAAGGGAAAAGCCCTATATTTGACCCCTGTTAGTTTGCAAAAACCCATAAAACCTGTACATTGGGGGTACTGTAGTACTCAGAAGATGCTGCTGAGCACATATCAGGGTGTTCTTTGTCAGTAACGCATAACAAGAATTGAGAAACCTTGCCTAAAGTACAATGTGAGAGAGAAAAAAAAAACACACAAAAACTGGAGGTAGAATTAGTGCATGGAAAGTGTTCAAATACCACCATTTGAAATACCCTAGGGTGTCAACGTTTAAAAAAATATATGGTTTGATGGGGGTAAATTACATTGGCCAGCTTTAAAAATGTCCCAAATAGTACATGGGTGCATAATGACCAGCTGTAAAAATTCTAAGTTAGAAAACTGGAATGCGTACCCTCCAAATAAGGTCTTTTAGCCCCAGAGAACCCGACACACCTATACATGGGTACTCAGGAGATGTTGCTGAACACATATTGGGGTGTTCTTTGGCAGTAACCCTTAAAGTTCTCAGTATATGTATTCTTAAATTGCTACGTGTGTCAAAAAAATGTAGATTGTAGATGCGTTAACAGATTTTGGGGGTCAAAATTAGAAAAAGTGTGTTTTTAAAAAACAATTTCATCATATTTTATAATATTTTTATAGTAAATTAAATGATATGATGAAAATAATAGTATTTTTAGAAAGACCATTTAATGGCGAGAAAAACAGTATATAATATGTGTGGGTTCAGTAAATGAATAAGAGGACAATTACAGTTAAACACAAACACGGCAGAAATTTAAAAAGAGCCCTGGTCCTTAACGGTAAGAAAATTTAAAAAACAATCTGGTCACTTAGGGGTTAAATTAATTATGAACACACACACACACACACACACACACACACACACACACACACACACACACACACACACACACACACACACACACACACACACACACACACACACACGTTAGACTGCTGATTTTGAACATTTGCCCACTGACAAAGAAATTATCAGTCTATAATTTTAATGGTAGGTGTATTTTAACAGTGAGAGACAGAATAACAAACAAAACATCCAGAAAAACGCATGTCAAAAAAGTTATAAATTGATTTGCATGTCAATGAGTGAAATAAGTATTTGATCACCCTATCAGATTTCTGGCTCCCATGTGTCTTTTATACAGGTAACAAGCTGAGATTAGGAGTACTTTCCTAAAGGGACACCTGTCCACAGAAGCAATCAATAAATCAGATTCCAAACTCTCCACCATGGTCAAGACCAAAGAGCTGTCCAAGGATGTCATGGAAAAGATTGTAGAAATACACATGGCTGGAATGGGCTACAAGACCATCGCCAAGCAGCTTGGTGAGAAGGTGACAACAATTGGTGCGATTATTCACAAGTGGAATAAAAACACAAAATAACTGTCAGTCTCCCTCTGTCTGGTGCTCCATGCAAGATCTCACCTCGTGGAGTTTCAATGATCATGAGAACGGTGAGGAATCAGCAGAGAACTACACGGGAGGATCTTGTTAATGATCTCAAGGCAGCTGGGATCAGTCGCCAAGAAAACAATTGGTAAGACACTACACCGTTAAGGACTGAAATCCTGCAGCACCCGCAAGGTCCCCCTGCTCAAGAAAGCACATTTACACACTTGTCTGAAGTTTGCCAATGAATATCTGAATGATTCAGAGGAGAACTGGGTGAAAGTGTTGTGGTCAGATGAGACCAAAATCGAGCTCTTTGGTATAAACTCAACTAGCTGTGTTTGGAGCAGGAGGAATGCTGCCTATGACCCCAAGAACACCATCCCCACTGTCAAACGTGGAGGTGGAAACATTATGCTTTTTCTGCTAAGGGGACAGGACAACTGCACCACATCAAAGGGAAGATGGACAGGGAGGATGAAAACCTCCTTACCTCAGCCAGGAGATTGAAATTGGGTCATGGATGGGTATTCCAGCATGACAATGACCCAAAACACACAGCCAAAGCAACAAAGGAGTGGCTCAAGAAGAAGCACATTAAGGTCCTGGAGTGGTCTAGCCAGTCCCCAAACCTTAATCCCATAGAAAATCTGGGGAGGGAGCTGAAGGTTCGAGTTGCCAAACGTCAGCCTTGAAACCTTAATGACTTAGAAAGGATCTGCAAAGAGGAGTGGGGCAAAATCCCTCCTTAAATGAATGCACACCTGGTGGCCAACTACAAGAAACATCTGACCTCTGTGATTGCCAACAAGGGTTTTGCCACCAAGTACTAAGTTGAAGGGGCCAAATACTTATTTCAGTCATTGACATGCAAACAATTTATAACTTTTTCGGCATGCGTTTTTTAGTGTTTTTACATAGAGTCCAATCAGCATCTCCTCATAGAAATACACTGAATCCATGCATCTCTATGAGGAAAGTTCACTGTCTCCACACAGATGGTAGAGATACTGAATGTCAGTGTTGCACACTGTGCAACACTGCCACAGGAAGCACCTCTAGCAGCCATATAAGAATTGGCCACTGGAGGTTTCCCTAGGCTGTAATGTCAACACTGTCTTTTTCTATGAAAAAACTGTGTTTATTTCAAAAAGCCTAAAGGGAATGATTATACTCACCTGAACAAATACAATAAGCTGTAGTTATTCTGGTGACTATAGTGACACTTTAACTAAGGTTAGAAATGTCAACAATACAAGGTGAATTTCTGAAGCAGCCAAAACAGAAATATTTTGCAAGTCCGCTAACTTCCAGTTAGGCACTTTGATTTTGAGTCAGTCATTCACGTTAAATTTACAGCAATTCTTATTTTAGTGAATAAACTTAAGAATAGGTGTGCTGAAAAATATCTCCAACAGATATGTATTCACACTATGGGTTATTCAATAAAGTGAGAATTCAAAAGGAATTACAAATATAAGGCCAAAGTATGAATTGAATTTGATAATTTGATCATTTTGAAATTCACTTTGAATTCTCACTTTAGTAAAAAAACAAACAAAAAAAAACCTTGTTATTTTTCAGTTCATTCCACTTCACTGCGTAGTAAACAATCCGTTCTCTATTTTTAAATGGCTCATTGCAAGCTATGCGTAAAGCACGGTTTAAGGTAAGATTCTAAAACTGGAGCAATCAGCAGTGACATGTTATTTGTTTCCATGGTGACTATACCACATTTAGAATGTTGACACAGAATTGTTCTGTTTTCCATACAAAACACCAGTGTATTTAAATATTTTAAGTCCTTATTTAAATATTTTAAGTCTCCAAAATGCTTTTCAGTGTGCTTTCTGTAGAGAAACCAATTTTTTTTTTTTTTTATCATCAGGTATTGGGACTACTTTACACCATAGCCAAATAGCATTATCAAAATCCCACCTAATCATCAATTATTTTATAGCAGCTTCGCTTATTTATTTCCAAAACTATATAAAATTCTTCTTGTTCTAAAAAAAATAAAAAGATTAGCATGCAACAGCACAAATTGATATGTATTTTAATTGGGGTGTTGGGGAGCCTGGGGAGTGACTCATATCAAGCTTTGTAATTAGTTTAATACTGTAAGTCAGATGTCTGTAGAGTAAATGGTGATTTGTGAAAATAAAATAAAGGACAGAAATGCAAAATGTTCATCCTCTGTCATGCTACAGCAATTAAATTGCCTTTCAAAAGAATTTCAACCCACGGCCAATTTCCTTATATCACTAAATTACAGTTTCAGTGTTAAAAAAAAATGAAATCGTACCGAATGTCAGTTCAATTATTTTAAGGTGACATTAATTTTGTACTGGAAAATTTATAACAGAAAAAGAAATGAGCAATTGTTGTTTCAACTACTGGCACCGTGTGCTGTACTAGCTTCCAATTTATAAGTAAAAGGCAAATGAAGACTTTGTCACCTTGCCATTGGCCTGTATTTGAACTGTTAAATGTTCCCTATATATACACATGTATATACACAGTTGGTGTTATATATGTTGATAAGAATAAATAATTCCCCATGTTACAAAAACCCACTTTAGAATGCTCTTTATAACTACAATTCAGAAGTGGGGCATGCATTGTTTTTTCTTTTTCATTTTTTTTATATCGTATCACTGATTATTGACTTATATTATTATTGGTTAATAACAAAAATATGTGACAGAGCTCCTGTACTCTGACTCAGTACCTCTGCCAGGTCAGCTTCCTCTCTTCTACCAGGGACCCTGGAGCACTTCAAACCCAGTCGCTGAAGCTTGACTGGGGTCACTGAGGATGTCCTCCACCGGACCAGGTTGTCATGAATGACACCCTCTCTCTTGTAGAGCAATGTATAGCTTTACTGTAGCTTTTCCCCCACACATTAGAGTAGTCTGGATGTAGGGGGTTGAATGATCTTTATTGTGCGGAACACAACTATTCATACAGAACAGTGTTAACTATCCCTGCAATGCAATTGTCCCTCCCTGGCACCACTCTGTCTGGGGACTTAATTACATTATCAACAGCTAACACATTTGGCTCCTGCTGTGCCCTCACAGTCCTAGAGACACAGCACACAAAATGTCCACCAAAACCCCCCTTTCTCTGAACAGTACCCCCACACAACATACCCTTGGAAAGCTTGGCACTAAGCGCCCTTGCTGTCCACAAAGCACCCAATTCGGATAATCCATTCCCGAGTTAATAAAGTTTTATCAAATCGTGACTATTCTCCAACACAGCGGGGAGTTCCAGGTGTGTCCCAGACTTACAAAATGGGTTCCAAGGCCTATGGGGAAGGGAACACTCTTAAGTCCCAGGTATTTTACGATGCCTCCTTGCCTCCCCAACCTACCTCCAAATAGTGCTCTATTTGGAGGTCGGGGAACCAAGATATATCTGCTTAAGGATTTACTGGACTTCTGCACAGTCCCAATTCCAGGAACCGTTCCAGAGTGTTTCAGGTTATTTCCTGGTCCGGTACTCAATGTGTAAAATTACTTCATGTGATCCCCAGACGTCCTCACGTCTTGCTGGGAATAAGGGCCCAGGGCTTTCCATACCACTCCCCACAGTGACAATAGCCTCTTATGCTCCTGGGAACAGGACCAATATCAGTGGGCAGGAGGCTGGCCTTCAAGCCTCTCTAAAAGTCTGTAGCATGGGAGCTTCCATCATATTAACGTTTATTTACTTCTGTGTAAACATTTTTTTACAAATAGTGTTCTGTCGTGGTTTGCGTTCTTAGATGACTGATTCTCTGGAGTATATGTCTTTTTTTGTTTTCACTTCTACTCTGTTTTGGCATGTTGCAAATTGTCTAGGGTCTCCTTAAAGTAAAAGGGTAATCCAGACATGGACCCCCTTGCTCACTATGCTTAAAGGGATATCAGCCACACCTCACTAATGAGATCCTTTGTGGTGGTGTCAGTTTGATATACAAATGGTCTAGACTGTGTCTCTAATGGCTCAAGATGAGCTAAAACCAGCTTGAGAACTGAGCATGGACCCACCAAAGGGTAAACTATTTGAGTTGTTGTCCTTTCTCAGTATTCTCTTGTGTTCTGTTTTTGTTTATATCATTTGCTGTTATGATATTAACCCCTTAAGACCGGAGGGCGTACTATTTTAGGCGGCTCTAAACGCCGCCGGGCGTAATAGTACGCCCTCCGGTCTTTCCTTACTTACCCGTTCGCCGGCGGTCCCACGTCGGCGATCGCGGTGGGGGGGACTCCCAGGGAGCCCCCCGTGGCAGATCCTCCTCCTCCGGTGCCCCCCGGCCATGTGAGAGTGAGGTCCTTGCGAGGACCTCACAATCACATGGCCAGGATAACTGCCTCCTGCATTGCCACCTGTAATGACAGGTGGTCCCCCTGCTGGCTGAAAATAAAATAAATAAATGTTAAAAGTGTAAAAAAAAATAATAATATATACTTAGATATTATATATATATATATATGATCTAAGTATATATATATATATATATATATATACACATATACATACACACACGTTCACTGTATAGGTGTATTTTACTATTAATATATATATAATTATATATATATATATATATATATATTAATATCAAATTACATGTAGACTGATACTGATTAAATATATATATATATAATTATTGTTATATATATATTTATATATAATATAAAAAAATTAAATATGTAAATACATTAAAAAATTAAATAAAAAATAATAATAAAAAAATAATTAAAAAATATATAGATGTGTGTTATTTCGTTCTAACTGTATTGTGATATTAATATATATATATTTATATCAAAAAACACGTAGAACGAAATAATATATATATCTATATACATAAATATATACGTATATATCACTATATATATACCTATATATAAATAAAAATATTTAAATTTTTTATATATATATATATATACATATATATTCACATATGTATATATATATATATATATATTAATTCTACATATATATTTATGTAATATTTTTACATAATTGGGTATCTTAATTAATTACAATTAGCGGGACCTGCCTGACAACCCATGCCGAAAGTAAAGGGAATTTAATTTGCTAGCACTATATTTAACCCTATAACTTTCCAAGACACCATAAAACCTGTACATGGGGGGTAC